TCTCTAAAAAAAGAACAATATTTTCTTCTTTCTAGCTTACCTTATTGTAAGAATACAATGTATAATACATATAACATACAAAATAAGTGTTAATCAATAATGGGGAAACCAAAAAACATGTCCACTATGCCTTACTTCGCTTCATTTTAAGAAGGTATATTGCTATTGCTTCTAGTTTGGGAGAGTTGTTTTGGGGAGACGGGACTGTTTGTTTTTAGTGCAGAGAGATGGGGAATACTTTCTTAGACAAAAAACAAATCCTGAGTCACGTTTACATACCCAGTTCAACTCTAACATTGCACGGCTGTTACTTAAGTTGTTCAACTTTATAACTTTACATATTTTCTTTTATGCTAAAAAAATCTTGGTTCCTACGGACATTAATAGAAGTTCTTATTTATCATACAACATATATGACAAAGTTTTGAAATATTATTATTATTTCTTATGGTTCATATTTCTTTATGGTTTGGGTTTTTGACCTTAGGATATATCCCAAAAGGGATAAAGAGTCAAAATGTTATATTTTAAGTCACTTGAAAGAATTCTTTTTATGTGTGAGGTCATGCCACCGACTTGATTTGCAGTTCGGTTCCTTTGCTTCCATTTGCTTTCAGCTTTTACAGACTGTTTTCTTTGGATATAATGTTTGTCTTATTTTTGAGAAAGAGAGAGAGCACACACACATGCATGTGAGTAGGGGAGGGGCAGAGAGAGAGAGAATCCCACGCAGATTCCACGTCCAGCATGTAGCCTGACACGGGGCGCCATTTCATGACTATGAGATCATGACCTGGGCTGAAATCAAGAGTTAGATGCTTAGCTTAACCAAATGAGCCACCCAGGCGCCCCTACAGACTGCTTTTTACAATTGTCTTTCCTTTAATTTTGGCTTTTAATTATGTAAATATTTACTTGGTTCCTAAGTCAGAACTATTTTCAGTTATATTCAGAGTTTTACTTCCATCCTTATTCCCACCATCTTATTCTCTTATAGGTAACCTTTGTAAGAATTACGGTTTGGGGTTTATCTTTCCATTGCATTAAGAGTTTCAGACGGGAGGTGCATGTGGTGTGGTCTAAGCAAGACATTCCATCTAGTAGGAGGGAGAGATTCCCCATGTACAGGGAGCTTCAATTCACTTTGGTGTATGGAGTTGTCGTGATGGGGGCAATAATGGGGAGAGACACGCATGCACACACACAGGAAGAGACGGGGGGGAGAGTGGGGTTTTGTCACAGGGATAGCAAGACTTCTTAAGCCTCTGAAGAATGGTGTTAAAACCAAAAAACAAAGAATCTACAATTATTTCAAAATGTTCGAAGTTAAAAAACAAAGCAGCAGACATGGGAAGAAAAAACAAGAGTGCCCTCTGTTGGCCTCTGTTGGGCTGCACATCATCTGTAGTACCTGAATTTGAACACTAATGGGGCCCGTGATGCCTTATGGGGTTAGCTTGAGCAAAGCAATGAACTGTCAGCTGACCAGGACACCTACAAGGCCCACACTAAATTTACTTTCTGCTCTCCCCAGCTCTCATGTCCTTAGGACCCTGGGATATATGGTGACTAAATATCGCTGTTACCACATCTTGGGAATAAATATTTTTCCTCCTGCACCTATTTTCCTGGCATAGGAAAAAAAAAAAATCCACGCTTTCCGTTGTCCCTTGCCAAAGCTGTGACAGTAATGATACTGTCCTTACTCCTAAGGTACATCTTTACTCACGCAGTATGTCAGTGTGTGGGACCAATGTAGAACAATGGGAAAAGGAGGCATGCTTCTGGCTTCCACCACTTACTAGCTGTGTGTCCTTGGGCAAGTTTCTTAACCTCTCTGAGCCCTGGTTTCCTTATCTGAAAAATAAGAATGATACTATCCAACTCACAGGCTGTTTGGAGAGGCTTAAATGAGTGGCGTATATAATGCCCCCGATATAGGATGTTAGTACTACATAATGGGCCACTACAAACAATTATTATTATTGTTATTATTTTTTTTTCAACAGGAAATTTGTGAGAATCCTCGATTTATCATTGGTGGAGCCAACAGAACTGACATCTGTCAAGGAGATCTAGGTAGGAAAGTACCCTCGGGTCATATCCAGCCAAACAATCAAGGGGTGATTAAAAGGTGATTAACATCTGGTTTTGCTCTTAAAGAATTTTGGGGAGGAGGTTTTTATAACACTACTTTGTGCCCATTTATCTATGTGCTGGTGATGGTTTCATTTAATTTCTGTCCCCGCCCCCCCAAAATCTCATGAGTTCACAGGGGATACGCCTCAGTCCACAGCATCTTCCTGACAGTCTGAAGGACATTTGCACACCCCACTCAGGAGGATAAAAGCCCTGCTTTTAACTGCACCCATTTCCTTAAAAGAGAGCTCTGAAACTGTCTGAATACCAAGCATGTCCCTTGAATATATATTGAATCCATATGCACACAAAAAGTGTACTTGTAACTCAAACTCTTGTTTAAAATGCCCCAGCCAGAGTAGCTCCATATTAATGGAGTCTTTCAACAAGGATGACATTTGCCATATTGACGAGCACCCAGCGTTCTGTCCGGGTGGTCACCTTGGCTCTTCTACCAGACCTTCCTCTCTCAGGAAGTACTATCTTTGGCGTGGACTGCAGGAAAGCTCTACACTTGATCTTAGCCAAAAGGCCAAGAAGCGACTGGACTGCAGGAAACTCTATGAAGCATAGGTGGAAAGAACATCAACAGACGTAATTTAAAATTTGAGGGAAAGGTGCACTCGAGAACAAATGAAAGGAATTTGGCCCCAGAAAGAGAGGCTGAGGAGGTTTTCAATATCGGGGTTCCTGCACCCGGGAGAAAGATGTCTGCAGAGCCCTGGGAGAGCTAATAACCTGGACTTCCTAACACTGTTTCAAAGGAGAGGCTTGCTTCTTCAGGGGTGGGGTGGGGAGGACGGCTGCTGGGAGCTCTCAGTCTCCCCTCTACAGTCTCAAAGATGCCGTCACATCCACACAGGAAATCAAAGGCCTTGCACAACTCAACCCATCTGCTTAGAAGGAAATTCTATGACTGTCAGTGTGCCAGGCATGCCCCTTGGGCATTCTATTTCTCTTTCTCTCTCTCTCTCTCATACACACACACACACACACACACACACACACACACACACACACACACACACACAGCAAAATCACTAAATATAGCATTCTGCCAGAAAGGAAGTTCAGAGAAAAGAAAATATCCCCATCTCATTCCATGGCCAGCAATGTCTCAGCGCCCTCAAAAAGTGGCTGCAGAGAAGCTGCTTTACTGGCTTTCCTTCCAGTACAAGAGGGCTTGGCCGATGGCTCTCAGATGCTCAGTCTCCACTGAGGTATGCACTCACATTCCAAAGTCCAGGAAGTACAGATTTCATCCAGGTGTTAGGAAGAATGACACATTTGACCTACTGCTCTGTGTTCATTGAGGTCCAAAAAGGAAGTGAGCTTATATTACGGAAGGAGCCATTGCCTATACCCTTCTGGAAAACCAGTCAGAAGAGAGTAAGTCACCCTGATCGAATTGTCGAGGGACTGCCATCAAACTCCTCTGGGTCGACCTCTCTGAGGTCAGATCTGGAAGTAGGACAGCGAACACTAAGTGAACTTGTTCTTCAGAGAAGCAGAAGAATCAGCTGGGATTGGGTCTTTTTCTTCCCCGGAGGTGACCTATGCCATGTACTTTCCCCGCAGGGGACTGCTGGTTTCTCGCAGCCATTGCTTGCCTGACCCTGAACGAGCGCCTGCTTTTCCGAGTCATACCCCATGATCAGAGTTTCACTGAAAACTATGCGGGCATCTTCCACTTCCAGGTGAGGTCATTGGAGTGTGGTTAAGAGGGCCAGCTGCTTTTCGGAAACCCACCTTTTCAGGAACACTTACCTCAAACACCAGAAGCGTGTGGAGGTTTTCCCATCACCACAATGTGTTTGGAATGTACCACTTACATATGTTATTATTTGTTTTCTATAATATCAAAATTGATTTTTGAGAATTCTTATAGATCATTCATATGATTAAACTTTTATTAAATGTTTTCACAATTGTGTTTAAAAAAGAAAAAACAGTAAAAGAAGAGGGCCAGCTGCTGTCCACCCACCGCTGGTCTTCTGGCCTTGACTTTCCAGCGGCTTCAGGAAAGATTCCACCCACCCTCCCAGTCTTGGCTGTGGGCAGTGACCCCCCCTAAGGCCTCAGGCCTGTGAGGATGCAGTTGTTTATCTCTGCCCCCTCAGCAGCCCCCCTCCCAAAACCCCATCTTCCGCCATGCTCCAGAAAGGCAGGAAGACATCCTGTTTGCTGGCCTGTGGATCTATTTTTGCCTTTCCAGCTGGCTGCTGTGTTACCTGCAGCCTTTCTCAAGTAGGTTCCTAAGATATTAGCATTGGCGGTTCATAGGGCCCTTTAGTTTGCAAAGGAAACCCCCTGAATGATTATGGCTCCTTTCCCTGTTTTGCTTTAAAGGCAGGTCTATACCAAGTCTATCACTCACCTTTTCCAGGCCTTGAAAGGACAATCTGGTCAATCTGGGACCAGGCTTCTGGCTCAGCCCAGAAAGGAGTCTTTTGGTTCCAGAATCAACTAAACCATTGGAAATTTTCTAGATCCAAAATCTAGACGCAGATCTAGCAGATGCTGGGATTCTGAGGCATCCATCTGTTTCCAGCCCTGAAAGCCGCCCCCCCCTCCCCCATGTCCTGGGACTGACCCAAATCATCAGTACCTGCTGATTTTGTACCTCAGGACTGAAGGCTTGAGAGAAGGTCTTCTTTTCAGGTTCAGGTCCTGCTGCCCTCTGAACACGGGTAAGGCAGCCAGGCCCTCATTTTCGTTTCTTCCCTGTGCCATCAAGCTGCTAGTTTCCCTCTGATATTTAAAGGGTCTTCTACCTAAATAGGGCCACAAATATAAAGACCACATAGATTTTTTTCCCCCTCTTTTCAATAAGGGAAAACAATGTCATTAGAGGGGAAATTAAACCACATTTGGCAGTCTTCAGTTAAAATTGGTTTGTTCAAAAAAGAACATTCAGAATTGAAATTATTCAACAATGTTCCTGTTACAGCCAGAGTATATTCTGGGACACTCTCCTTTTCCCTATCAGTCTTCTTCAGCAGCCATTTCTACCTTGTTTGTCATAAAGAGATCTATAAATCAATACATCACCTTCACCTAGGCCAGCAGTTCTCAACGCTGCTGCATATTAGAATCAGCTAAAATACCTAAAATATGATGCATAGGCCCCACTCCAGACTTACTGAGCAGGAGAATGACGATCTCAAGCCCTCAGATATTCATGGGGGACCTACCATCCCTGAGGCTGGCCGGACTGTGTGCAAGAGAGAAAGCAAGATGTAGCCCACGTTCCTGCCCCCAAGGAACTCACGGTCCAGTTAGAGAAAGATACACATGCTCCAAACCCAAAAGAGTATGAACAAGGACCAAGTGCAGAGCTGAGGCAATGGGACCGCTTTGGGATCAAAGAGAGTCTGAGGAATGTGGAGGAGAGGCACGTGGTAACCTGACGATGTGACTCTGTCCTTGGTGCCTCTGTGCAGTTCTGGCGCTACGGAGACTGGGTGGATGTGGTCATTGATGACTGCCTGCCGACTTACAACAATCAACTGGTTTTCACCAAGTCCAACCACCGCAATGAATTCTGGAGTGCTCTGCTGGAGAAGGCTTATGCTAAGTAAGGCAACACTTGAGGATGTGAGGCAGGGCTAAAGGTGGTGGGCTGCAAAATCCAGCTGAAATCTTGTCACAAGAGGCAGCGTGCGTGCACATGTGCACATGCGTAACAGTTCAACTGGGTCCCTAAGTCTGAGGGGGTCGGGTCCAGGCAGCAACGGCTATAACTAAAAAACTGTATTTAAGGGAAGGATGAAGACATGTGTAGGAAATCTTTAGCTTTAGCCTCCCATAGTGAGCACTTTAATTCTGCCTTCCTGGTGATGTTGCAAGTCTTATATTTGAGCATTAGATCTTTGAAGCTCACATTCCCAGGGTCTTGCTTGGCTCAACCTCATGATCACGCGGGATATTAATAAAGCCATGTTATCTCTCAACTTGGAAGCTCCACCCCAGCTATTTCTAAGGGCTCTATGGAGCCCTTCCTTGGGGTTCAGAGTATGGTGGAAAGAGAAGAGTCAGGAAGTGAGAATGGCTGGGTTCCCATCCCAGTGTTTCTGGTTCTCTGTGGCCTTGGGTAAGCCACTTAGCCTATAAGACTCAGTTGCTCAAATGTGAAGAAAGAGAATCATAGTAGCTACTCCATTAGCTTACAGAGTTGTTGGAGAATTAGGTAAGAGAACATCACAGGACCCGAGAGTAAAATTCTGGTGGCCCAGGGCCTGGGTCATGTTTCCTGGAACGCTGTGACCTCAGATTGGTCTTCATTCTCTCTCCAAGGCTCCATGGTTCGTATGAGGCCCTGAAAGGTGGGAACACTACAGAGGCCATGGAGGACTTCACAGGAGGGGTGACAGAGTTTTTTGAGATCAAGGATGCTCCCAGAGACATGTACAAGATCATGAAGAAAGCCATCGAGAGAGGCTCCCTCATGGGCTGTTCCATTGATGTAAGCCTGGGGTGTGGTGTGCAGGGCAGGGAGCAGGCAACTATCGGAAAGCCATCCATGTGATGAAAAGCAATGTAGGGCTTTCCTCTGGGACAGGGTGGATGTTTTGTTTAAGGAAGCAGGAACTGGCTCTCAACTTTGAAAATTTCTAAAGGAAGAAGAGTTCCTAGGGATTTTCACTAAAGAGACTGGGCAAAGACACTCCAAGGCCTAGACTTTAGGTAGAAATAGGTCCAGAGGCGTGTGTCAGCCCCGGCCTCTGTGGCCAGTGCTGCTCAACCCCAGCATGCCCCCAATTAAGCTGGCTGCATATCTGGTTCTGGACCTGAGCCAGCCAGTTCCCTGAGACAGCCTCTCAGTCACTGAGCTGTGATCCTGTCTCTCACTTAGGACACGGGCCTTGTGTTGTGATCTGGGAGAAGGTCGGCCTGCAGGCGCACTCTCAGCACAACAGAGTAGTGTGATCTGACACTGGGGCTAAGGGTATGGAGACCCACAGAGTGGCCAGCCCTCCTGAGTTTCAGGAGACACACCTGCCCTGGGGGCTGCTCAGTGGATAATAGTCTTGGCTGGAGCTTTCCATCACTGAGGAAGGAACTGAAGCTGAATTCCTGAATTTCCTTCCTCTCCTAATACTCCAAATGGGTCCAAAAGCTTGGGAAGATCAGCTAGCATTAAACACCCCTGGATGAACATTTTCTTTCTGTATCACTTTTCTCCATCTTGTCTCCATTCACACTGTTTCTCTCTCCTCTTTTCCTTTGTCCCCTCCCTTCTTTCTGTCTCCTTCCCTGTCACCCTCCTTTGTTTGATCTCTCCCTCCCTCTTCTGGACTGTCCCCGGCCCATCCCGTCGGGCCTCAGGATGGCACAAACATGACCTATGGAACCTCTCCTTCTGGGCTGAAAATGGGGGAGTTGATTGCACGGATGGTGAGGAATATGGATAACTCGCTGCTCAGGGACTCAGACCTCATCCCCAGGGACTCAGATGACAGACCAACCCGGGTGTGTACGCCTCCAATTGTCAGGAATGACCACCCCTCCCACCTGCATGACCCTGCATGAGGCCTGTTGGTGTTAGACTCCCCTCAGCAGCCAGTGCCTTACATGCAGACCTCCACATGGGCCTTCCAGGGGGCTGGGGTGGAATAACTTGCCTGCTCCAAGGCTCTTGGACAAGGTGGGGGAGACAGGATTTGGAGGAACTCTCTGTGGGAGTTCTTTCATACCCCGTGGTCCAGGCAGTTTCTCTGATAACAAATTAACAAGTAGAAATACAAGAGACTTTGTTCATTGTTGAATATTTCTTCTCTTCTAATTCAGGTATTCATTCAACGCAGATTTATTGAGCTCCTACCAGGTGCCAGACACTCTTGTAGTAAACAAACAAAAAAAATACATTTTGTTCACTAAAAGAGTCTCTCCCCTCATAGAGTTTATTTTCTAGTACTTTCAGAAGTAATGCATGCTCACTGAAAAATACTTACAGAAAAGCATGGAGGAAAACTTAACACATGTTTTCTCCCATCTAAAGGTTGCAACTCTGAGTATGTAGTATATGTCCTTCTAGGATATTTCTTTGCATACAGTTAATCTACATTTTTATTTTTAAAATGTTGTCACACTGTATGTACCTCTTTGCATTGTGTCTTTTTTCAGTTAGCTTTATGTTCTTAATGTGCCAATATGAACTATATTGTTAATGTGTCTCCCAAAACATTCTTTAATGTTTATTTATTTTTGAGAGAGAGAGAGCACCCGAGCATGCGAGTGTGAGTGGGGGAGGGGCAGAGACACAGAGGGGAACAGAGAATCCAAAGCGGGCTCTGCACTGACAGCAATGAACCCAATGCGGGGCTCAAACTCATGAACCGTGAGATCATGACCTGGGCCGAAGTCAGTTGCTCATCCGACTGAGCCACCCACGTGCCCCTCAAAACATTTTTTTAGTGGTTGCACAGTATGCCAACACACAGATAAGTTATAATTTATTTACCCAATACCCTATCATTGGAAAATTAGATTGTTTTCTCTTTCTTGTGTTGGCTATTATTTTTAAATGCTATCTTGAACATCCTAATAGATATATCTTTGTGTGTGTCGTGATAATTTCTTTGGGACAGAATGCCAGGGGAGGAATTGCTAGCTGTGCAAAAGTAATGCCAATAGAGTCATTTCAAGCGGTTTCCCAGGTCTAGACTTGAAAGATGCATGGATCTGCTTCCACATTCTTTCTATTCAGCATGGTCTGGGTCACGTAAGGACTAAGATGTGGAAGAGGCCAAGATGCCAAAAGCCCTGGCTCCACCTGCATCCCTGAAGTTGAAAAGGCTCACAAATTGCACAGCCTAGCATGGCTCCAGGAAGCTCTTCTTAAAGCTGTTATGTTACCAGGCAAAGGAGAGCCATAGAGATATGGTCTAGGGTTCAATGGGCATTGGAGATCCTATCCCTCTACTGAGCATCTTCTGGGGCTGAAACTTGGTAATTTCTACAAATCTAAGAGCTTCCCCTAGACCGGTAGACCAAATCATGTCTGAATAGGACTCGACTCTGGCCTCCTCCAAATTCCTTCCCTGGGCACTATGACTCTTGATTTCTTGAGTATTCTGTTCTTGATGGGTATGGAGGGGGGAATGGGATATACAGAGAGAAGGTTAGACCTATATGTTTCATCTAACCTCTTTTTTCAATTCCTTTCTCTTCCAGGAGTTGTCAAGTCTGGGTGGGCTCGAGGGAAGGGGCCTCCATTTGTCCCTGTTCCTCCTTTGAAAGACCCCAAGAGATCCAGAAAGGAGGGCCAGGGATCTGCTTACCTACATCGACATTGTCCCAGCCTCATACTGTTCTCCGATGGTCAGAACAGACCTTTTCAGGGCAACCAGCTTGAGGGAGACCACTTGTCTGGGCTATGTCTTCTTGACTCTCTAAAAGAGCCAGGGAGGGCCTTCTCATGGCCAGGATGTCCACATTCAGAGCACAGAGGAGTCTGTGTCCTCGCAGAACCTGGAAAATGATCCAATGAGTGCAGGCCCTGATAGGCTGTCTGGTTTTTGCTCCACAGACAATTGTTCCGGTTCAGTATGAAACAAGAATGGCTTGCGGGCTAGTCAAGGGCCACGCCTACTCTGTCACTGGGCTGGAGGAGGTGAGGCTGATGGCGCGGGTGGCTGGGGAGCTATTTGGGTCAGCCTCCTGAAGTCAGGACTTAACTTACTGGGCCCCTTCACCTCGGCAGAGCTTGCCTCCTCTCAGGGGCACCACTCGCGGTCTGGGCCCAGCACCTGCATGCAGTTAGAGGGGACCATTGGGACTGGTAGACGTGGATCTTGCCACAAGGTGGTAAGATCTTTGCTTTTAGCGCTAAAAATGGCAAATTTCCCAACAGTTCCAGGGAACAAATAGAAATCACTTTGGTTTTATGAAATTGATTTCATGGGCTCTCATGTCTCCTTTTCTTTGGGAGTTGAACAGATAGAATACTTTGCTCCCCCTGACACGTCGGGCTGAAGACAGGAAATTTGTCAGGACTATTGTGCACAGCTGGGCAGGCATGCTGTGCCCTGTTCACAGGGATGGGCAGAGACTGGAGGAAGGGGTGCCTTTTTCTTTTCTTTTCTTTTCTTTTTTTTTTTTTTTTTTTTTTTTTTTTTTTTGAGAGACAGAGACAGCACAAGCAGGGGAGGGGCAGAGAGAGAGGGAGACACAGAATCCGAAATAGGCTCCACACTGAGCTGTCAGCACAGAGCCTGACTCAGGGCTCACATTCACAGACTGCAAGACCACCTGAGCCAAAGTTGGACACTTGACTGACTGAGCCACCCAGGTGCCCCAAAGGGCACCTTTTTCTAATCAGTCCATCTATGGTGGCCATTTCTGTATAGTTACTCAGCCAGCAGGGTGTTTTTTCTAATTCAAACAAAGACACCTAATGTGTTAGAGTGGCCCTACAGTATATGCCCTCCCTCCTCCCCCAAAGCTCATAATGGCTGGGAAAACCACTTCTTAGAAGATCGTCAAGCCCTAACCTCTGCAGACTCAGTCCTAAGGTTCTGACCATTCACCTTGCCATTCTGCAAGAGTGCCTCTGATTAGTCTCCCCGACCAGGACCAGGCAGGACAGCCCCCTGTACAGGATTCTGTCCCCATTCCCTCCCCAGCCCTCAAGGCAAGACAGAAAACCCCCTTTCCAGAAAGGCCCATAGCAAGAGTTTTTTCTCTTTGCCCAAGACCCTGTTCAAGGGTGAGAAAGTGAAGCTGGTACGGCTGCGGAATCCCTGGGGCCAGGTGGAGTGGAACGGCTCCTGGAGTGACAGGTAGGTGAGGGGGACGGTCCATGAGAAGGGGACAAACAGCCTGGGGCAAGGCTGGGTTGCATATCAAGATATATGAGGATTACAAATGCGTGGTCTAAAATTACCCTCCAGACCCATGATCCACAGAGGGGAAGTGGGTATGTGGGCTCTAGGGAAAGGCCCACAAAAGAGCCAGGAGAGCTGGGGATCCAGAGACTGATGGCCATTGACTGGAAAGTTTCTAAAAAGCACGGGCTAGGTCCAGGCAGAAGCAAAGTGTGAATGCAGGGGTCTGGACTAGACAAGGGAATTCCCTTCTCAGAGTCTCTGTGTCCTCATCTATAAAATGGGAACAATACTAACACTTACGTGGTGGGCTGGAGAGTGCCTAGCCAGTGCTAAGATTTCCTGTCCCTTGCTGTCCCCATGAAAAAGGTGCACAGTCCCCCTGAAAGATCTTACCACTTATCACTGAATGGAATGAACTGGGTGCAGCGAAAGTACAAACACGGGGGACATTTACAAAGAAACATTTACAAAGGCTTCATAGGCTGATGGCCAATTGCCTCACTGAGTGGAGAGAAGCCCCTTGAGTGCCTCTTTTATTCCCAAGAGGAGATAGCAGGACTCGGTAGCCATGGGTGCCTTCAGCCCCTGTGCTCACCTCCACCCAGGGCACCATCATTACTGGTTCATTCAGCTCTTCATTTGCTGAGTAAGTCTTATTGAGCACCTACTGAACAGCAGGCACAGGCCCAGGCACTGAGGATATTCTGTGAATAGGCAGCCTCCCTGGATGACTGAGGGGCCGACTCTAGTCCTCTTACTGCCTCTTGCAGCCATTCTCTGGCATTCCTTCACTCATCAGGGAGACAAATCCTTACTTCCTCTGTGCTGAGTGTGCGGCCAGCCCCATGCTACTAGCTGGGACCTAGAAACGAACAGACATAGGCCCTGCCCCTGCAGATTCCAGTGGGAAGGACAAAAAAAGCCCCACTGATGATTAAAATAAATGCTATCATAAAGGTCACAAAAAAGGAGCCCCTCACCTAGTTTGCATGGGACACGAAGAATAGAAAAATGTGGCCCGGTGAGAGTGGCATTTGACCTGTGCTCTCTGCTCTGGGAAGACCCTCAGCGCCCCAGCAGTTGTCCATTCTACTGGGCCAGGTCACCCACAGGGACCCTCACTGTGTCCTCCAGCCTCATTGTTTGGTGTCCAGCCTTAACTCATGTCCTGCCAACGCCTCGACTGCAGGGACTGCTGACAAGTGGGGCCCATCTCTGGGTCACTCAAGACCACCCTCCCTGTATTGTGTCCTCCCCCCTTTTTTTTAATATTTATTTATTTTTGAGAGAGAAAGAGAGGGAGGGGCATAGAGTGGGAGACAGAGAATCACAAGCAGGCTCCACACTGTCAGAGGAGAGCCCGATGTGGGGCTCGAACTCACAAACCCTGAGATCACGACCTGAGCCAAAATCAAGTCAGATGCTTCACCAGTTGAGCCAGTTGAGCCACCCGAGCCACCTAGGGGCCCTCCCAACACCCCCCCCCAACCCTCCCCAACCCATGTCCCTCCTTCTGCTCTCTCAGTAATCTCCATTTCCCCTCTAGCATTCCCTGACCCCAAGCACTTCCTCAATCTTTTACCTTTCCAAGGACAACCCAGTTTAGTTTTATTCTCCTCAACAAGCCTGAAACACAGATGTGTTGTTTCCTCCCTCTTGAGGAGAGATGTGGAAAAATCATCCTGCCTTTAGAAACATGAAGCCAGGCTATTTCCTGGGGTGACAGAAGAAAGGAAATGTTTACATACTTGGTGTTTTTCTCAGTAACTCAGTTACTTATTAGATGGCAGGCACTGGTCTAAAAGTTTTACATGTATTATTTCATTCATTGCTCATCACAGCCATATAAGCAGATCATAATACTCATTCTTCTTTTGCAATTGAGAAAGCAGAAGCTGAGAGGTTAAGTGCCATACCCAAGGTTATGTAGCTAGGAATGGTATTATCAAATGGCATCCAGTTAATCTATTTCCAAAGGTCAACTCTTAACCTTTAAAGTGAGGAGGGATATGGGGCACCTGGGTGGGTCAGTCAGTTAAGCGGACGACTTCAGCTCAGGTCATGATCTCGAAGTCCCAGAGTTCAATTCCCGTGTTGGCCTCTTTGCTGACAGCTCACAGCCTGGAGCCTGCTTCAGATTCTGTACTTCTGTCTCTCTCTGTCCCTCCCCTGTTCTCTCTCTCTCTCTCTCTCTCTCAAAAACAAACAAACAAAAACACAAAAATGAAAAACATTAAAAAAAATTTAAAGTGTGAGGAGGAAAAAAAAAATTGTCCAGAGAAAGGTTAAGCCCTTACAAACCCATGTAAGGCCTTACTTACTCCTGAGGATAGAAGGCCATTACTGGGTTTTACACTGAGGGAATCAGATCAGATTTCCATATCTGATGCTTCCTGCTTGCTGCAATTTGGAGATGGGCTACTCTTTCAACTTTTTCATATTTCTCTTGATACCTCCTGTCCCATCCCACATCAGGCCTCTCCCGTTCTTCTTCCTTCCATAATTCCTCCATTTTCCCTCCAGTTGGAAGGACTGGAGCTTTGTGGACAAAGCTGAGAAGGCCCGTCTGCAGCACCAGGTCACTGAGGATGGAGAGTTCTGGTGAGTCCAGGACCCAAGAGGACCCTGAAGGGTAAGGGATCCAGTGGGGAGCTGAAATCTCAAACCTCAATCCCTGGAAAGAGGCCATCACATTGTAGCCCTCAGGAGATCTGGGCCCTGTTCTCTTCCTCCAGCCCAAAGCCCAACAGGATGGGGTTCTGAGAGGAGCCAGCCAGTCACAGAAACAACTAGAGCCTGGGACCAGGCCAGCACAAGGTGGCTCCTGCTTCGCCTATATCCCTCCGATGTGCACATGGCCCCAGCCACTTGCTCCCTGTCTCTCGGGCCAAAGCAGCTCTGCTTTGCTCACCCAATGCCACCCTCATCCTCACTCGGCTCATTTCTACTCAGCCCTTGAGTCTCAGCTTAAAGGGAATTTTCCGGATCCCTGTGTTTTGCCCAGAACTGGGATTAATTAGTGAGACTCATCATCCTTGAAATTGCTTGCTTAGTTGTCTGTCCTTCCTCAAACTGTCTTTCTTTCCGGTGAGCCCAGCACAGCACTGGGGCTCAGGGCAGAGGCACACGGTGCCATTGGGAGAACTGAATTGCTACCGAGCTCTCCCAGCGAGCACACAGGAGTTTGAGCTATTACTGGAAGAGACAGTAGTTTGGGGTGGAGACATGAGAACTGACAGTGTTTACCCTAACGCGGAAGGGCAGGGGCGTCCCTGGGGCCATGCCCAAGTTCCTGTGAACTGTGTGATCGTGCTGCTCCGGTCCCCGAGTCTTACCTCTCCCAGCCTCCCATATGGGTCTCTCTCTTCCAACCTCTCAGGATGTCATATGACGATTTCATCTACCATTTCACAAAGCTGGAGATCTGCAACCTCACGGCGGATGCCCTGGAGTCCGACAAGATGCAGACGTGGACGGTCTCCGTGAACGAGGGCCGCTGGGTGAGGGGCTGTTCTGCCGGAGGCTGCCGCAACTTCCCAGGTGGGAGAGGCTCGGGATGGGGGAGGGTCCAAGGGCAACAAGTTCCAGGTGGAATAATACCATTCACTGAGTCTGTATTAAGTTCCAGGTGTATCTTATCTTATTAAACCCCCCCCGTTTTACCAAGAAGGAAACCGCCTGCTGAGGAGTGTGCGGTGGGGAGCTGGTAACAACTTTTAAGCAGGACACTGTGTCGGAACAACACTACACTCATAATGCTGAGGATGGGACTGGAAAACGGAGTTAGCAGAGCCTGCCAGGGCACAAGCCAGAGATGATGAAAACCAAAGCAAGTCGGGGGCAGCAGAGATGGAGGGAAGAGGGCAGATTTAGGAAACAGAATATTGAAGAGTGACTTCAAGCTTCCCAGTTTGGGGGGCCCGAGTGGATGGTGTCAATGTCGCAATGTAAAACATACAGGAGGGAAAAATCAGCATGTTGTTTGTTTTTTGGTGGAGTTGGTTGTGGGCTTGTGGGGAGAGGAGTTCGGTTTGGCACATGGGAAGTTGAGGCACCTGTAGAAATATGCAGGTGAAGACGTGTCCTAGAGAATTGGATACACAGATTAGAATGGTACTTGGTTGTATGATTAGAACTTGATACATATTTGTGGAATATATATAGTTCAGGCATCATGGTCATGCAGGGACAGTTAAAAAGTGAATAAAACAGGAGCACCTGGGTGGCTCAGTCAGTTAAGTGTCCGACTTTCCATCTCAGCTCGGGTCACGATCTCAGGGGTTTGTGAGTTGGAGCCCCACATGAGGCTCACAGCTGTCAGTTCAGAGCCTGCTTTGGATTCTCTGTCTCCCTCTTTCTCAGCCCCTCCCTGCTCTCCCTCTCTCAAAAATAAACATTAAAAAAAGTTTTTTTAAGTGGATAAGACAGCCTAGGGAGGCAGAATAGTGGAGTGGGAGAGAGGCCTAAGACCACGTCCCAAGGACCAACAACATTTAAAGGGCAGGTGAGGAAAGGGAAACCATCAGCAGAGAATGAGAATCACAGCTCCGGGAGGGGGAAGAAGCCACACACAGCCAAGCAGTGAGGCTCCATCTCTATAAAGGTGGAGGCTACCCACAGTTCCCCCCACATAGTTTGGCAAATGCCTGCGTCATGCCTTCTGTATTTATTGAGCGCCTAGATGCAGGGGATAAATAGGTTCCCTCTGTCTTATTTCCCTTCCTGACCTTTCTCTGAGAGGCAGATCTGAATGTACGTTTCCTTCCTTGGGGGCACAGACACTTTCTGGACCAACCCACAGTACCGTCTGAAGCTCCTGGAGGAGGACGATGACCCTGAAGACTCGGAGGTGATCTGCAGCTTCCTGGTGGCCCTGATGCAGAAGAACCGGAGGAAGGACCGGAAGCTGGGGGCCAACCTCTTCACCATTGGCTTTGCCATCTACGAGGTGTGCAGTTCCTGACCAGCTTTAGCCCAGGAAACACATTCCTTGGGGGTGGGGAGCCTCCCAAATACTCAGTGCCCCACCCCCCGGCCCCGAACTCCTAGAATCAGACCCTCATGTGTCAGAATCTCTTAGATATTTGTAATGAGTGGAAAAAAACAGGTTGGGGGAGATGGAGCAGGGCTGGGCTGGGGCTGGGGCTGGCCAGATAGATGAGGAGTAGATGAGGAGTCAGACATCTGCATTCATTCACTCCACAGTTGTGGGCATTCTCTCCCTGCAAGAGTTTCATCCCCATTCAGATCTGAAGTCCACAGAATCTGAGCGTCTTCTTTTTCTGTTTCTCCTCAAGGTTCCCAAAGAGGTACAGAAGTGGCAGCGGCCAGCAGTTGTGTGCAGCATTACCTGGGGGTCCTGTGTCCATCAGTGGCACATCGGGAAGCTTCCTGGTGGGGTTTGAGGACAGGACTATGATAGGAGAGGGTCTCGCCTGGGTCACGCAACTCCAGAGTGGGTGCCTCAGGGTACTGCATGACCCCCTGACTATCACCCTCATGAGAAGCCCTTTCTCCCTTCCCACCAGAGACTGTCACACATAGGCTCTCACACATTCATACACACTTCTTCTCTCACACACACGCATACACTTGCTCACACTCATACACATTTGCACTCACAGTTACACACTCATGCACACAGTCACACAGACACATTCTGAGGGTGACTGCCCTCTTTGGGATGGAGGAATCGCCTCCCTCAGACCCCAGCCAAGGCCCCTCCTGCCTCCTTGGGGTCCTTCCCCAGCCTGGAGGTGATTTGGAGCTGACCAGCAGCAGTTCTGGTAAGTGGGGGGAATGATAGACTTGACCTTCACTTCTGAATCACAACAGAAAAAGAGGAAATGGGGTAGGGAGCTCCAGGGATGTTGAGCTATTTGAGGCCTTGGGAATCGGAAGTAGGTAGGTCACGACTGTGAACTGGGTAACCAGGGAGTTGGGGTAACCCCTGGACGGGGACTGTGACCAGGACGGGACATCCTTCTGGAGGAGCTCAGGTCCCTCGGGCTCTTCTCCCCCTCAGATGCACGGGAACAAGCAGCACCTGCAGAAGGACTTCTTCCTGTACAATGCCTCCAAGGCCAGGAGCAAGACCTACATCAACATGCGGGAGGTGTCTGAGCGCTTCCGCCTACCTCCCAGCGAGTATGTCATCGTGCCCTCCACCTATGAGCCCCACCAGGAGGGAGAATTCATCCTCCGGGTGTTCTCTGAAAAAAGGAACCTCTCTGAGTGAGTCAGCCTGCTTTCCCCTCCTGTCCCTAAAAGCCCATGTGGCCCATTCCAGAGATTGGAGATGTGAGGTAGCTGGACCTGTCACCTCCAGGAATCCTGGGATATGTTGACCAGGCTGCCCTTCTTCCTCTGCTGTGAGTCACTGGCCACATCTCCTCCATTTGTTTAGTCAGTCTGTCGTCCCACAGATCTCTATAGAGAACCTACTAAGTTCCAGGCACTCTTTTTCTAGGGACTAAGGATAGAACAGTGAATTAAACAGAAAGAAATCCCTGCCCTCATGGAGTTCAACATTCTAGCATGAGACAGCAATGCATAGGGGGAAAAAATATGCATATATGTGTTTGAGGGAGGTAAGTGATAAGGAGAAAGAAATACAGTAGGGAACAAGGATAGGAGGCATTAGGGGTGACGGAACTTTTAGGTGAGGTGACCAGGGAAGCCAGCAAGGCCACATCCTGCATTTTTTGCTCACTGCAGTTGATTCCATAAGCCCGACTACTCTGGACTCTGCCCTTGAGAAACACAAAGTCTAGGAGTAGGTGGCTGAGTCTGGGCACCTGGGCAAAGCCGACAAGAACCCGTGTGTCTGCACTTGGCTGCTGGGGATGGTGCCTACATGGGGTTGGTTCCCGTGGTGGGGTATTAGTTCCTGTGGTTCCCTTGAAGTCAGCTCTGACTTGGCTCTGAGGACCTGTGTGGCCTGGGCGAATTCTCTCTATGCTTCCTGCTTGCTCCTGGGGACAGTGAGACCCCTGCTCATGTTTGTGTTTCTCCACAGGGAAGTTGAAAATACAATCTCCGTGGATCGGCCCGTGGTGAGTGCTTTAGTTCTTATGTGTGAGAAGGTCCAGAGGCTCACCTTCCCCCATCCAGGCAGGGGACATAGGGGCGGTGGAGGGGAGAGTGGGTATTGGCAGAGAAGATGGGAGTCTGGGGCCTGCAGGGCAATTCTTCCATGTTAGTGCAGTTTCTGTTTGTCCCAACTAGAGGTAACAGGCCTCACGGTACTGGGCCGTGTACTCAATCCAGGGTCTAGGAAGCACAGAAGAAGAGTCCTAGAAGGGAAAAGCAGTTTGAACAGCGAGAGGGAGGGGTCAAGGCCATAGTAAGGGACAACAAGAGCAACAGATTGGATTATGAGAGTCAGTCTCACATATGGAAAAGAATACACACCAGCTCTGGAGTCAGCATCAAAACCTGGGTCCTCCACCTAGAGCTGGGTGATTTGGACAAGTTACGTAACCCCTCATTTTCCTACTCTGTAACACGGGAACAATAATATGTGCCTTGCAAGGCTCTTATGAAGTTTGAATCAATGAGATCATGTATGTGAAGTGCCTGGCACAGCACAGATCCTTAAATGGTGGTTATAATTCATGTGCTTTATATCTCAAAAGGTACTTCCCACATGCATTACCTCACTTGATCCTTGCAAGGTTTCTGAGATGTGATAAGGTTATTATTATCCCTGGTGTTAAGGAAGTAGAGGCTCAGTGGGGTTAAATGGCTCCCGTCGTTCACAGGTCTCATTAAATGGCAGGGCTGAAACTGACATTCAGATTCTCGGAGCCCAGATTCTCCAGGTTCTCAGGCTGCTTCCCCAGTCGCCATGTGGAGACCAGTTCCCACGTGTTTGAGTCCCTGAGTTAGAAGCACAGAGTTGGTATATGTGGCTTCTCTTTGTTAAGGAGTCTTGTGACTGCCTTGGGCCTTTGGGCCTTGGTTTATAAACATCCCCTGTGCTCTGTGTGACTTGGGCCAATAAGAGGACAGCAAATGCCCCACTGAGCTATCTTCTGGGTGGTGACACTCAGGGCTCCAATCCTGACCCTATGCCAGTGCCAGATCTCCAAGTGCCTTCTGAATTATCACAGGACATTCATCTTAGGATTAAATGCATTTGGTTCTATTCTTATTTGTGAAACATTAGTAATCAGGGTAGTATATTGATCAGGAATCTCAAACTCAGGAGCTTATGGGAGCTGGCATGCCACTGAACTGGGTAGGGCAGGCACATGTGGGGCTTTTGATGTCCCTCCACAGACATGTTCGCCTGGAGTTCTCAACTGACACCTAGCTTCGGTGTTGGAGGGACAACCGGAGTGGTGGTAACTATGGCATCTGGAGGGTACAGGCAGCAGCTGCCCTCAGCTCCCCAGATCGTTGCCAGTGCAGCCTGCCAGACCTCCTAGTTTTATTTTGTTTTAAAGCCCCAAACTTAGATTCCCACATTAAGTCTCTCCCTATGTTATAAATATCTGCTAAAACAAAACGGGGGCGCCTGGCTGGCTCACTCGGTAGAGCACGCAACTCTTGATCTCGGGGTTGTGAGTTTGAGCCCCATGTTAGACATGAAGCCAACTTAAAAAGTTTTAAAAAATTAAAACAAAACAAACCCCCCCCCCAAACTCTGGAAGTCAAGCAAAATTCATTTTCAGGCCAGTTTGGGTGAGCCACTTTTTTTGGTGTTTTAGAAACTAACTTCACTTAAAAATATAAAACTTTAGCCCGAAGATTCCTTTCCTTGGCTGTGTCTAATAGGAGTGGACTATAAGAACGGCCACCAGAGCGGCCACCAGTCTCTGAGCATGGAGAACTCTGACCTCCCTTCACCCTCCAGGCCTCTTTTGGCTCTGTGTGGCCCAGATTTCTGGACCCCAGAGCCTCACTCCAAGCTGAGGCCCAAATCACAGGGAAGTCAAAAGCCACTGTGTTTTCTGGAAACTTGATTTTCACTTATTCTGCATTTGTTGTTTCCTTTCCTTATGCAGAAAAAGAAAAAAACCAAGGTGGGTGTAACAGGGTGAGTGGGTAGACAGCAGAGTGTGTTTGTGCATGTGTGTGTGTGACAGCATGTGTACCAGACATGCCTCTTCCCTCACTGACCCCCACCTCGCCTTCCTGGGCCCAGGTCACAGCTAAGGGTGTGGACCAATGTTAGCTAACACTGGCCAGGTGAAGGCTACGGGCCAGGCACTCTTCCAGGTGCTTTCCATGGATATGCTCAATCCTCACAACAACCCCATGACATTGGTACTGTTATCCTCCCCACTTTCAGAGAAAGAAAAGGTACAGATGGATCCCCCAAATTGTCCAAGTGTGGCAGAAGCAGCACTAAGAGCCCAGGCGGTCTGGCTCCAGAGTCTGCCCTGAACCACCATGCTCACCTTTCATATGAGGGAGGAGGAGGATGGCCAACCAGTGAAAATGGGCCTGATATGGGGGCTCTTGCAAAAACCAGGAGCACCCCTTCTTTCTCAGAAGTGCTAAGCAGGGCTTGATTCTTTGGGGTGGGGGGGAAAAGCAACTGTTTGTGTTTCCCAGGGTACAGTGAGACAGGTGTGTGAGGGTTTCCATGGAGAGAGTCTTGAGATGCCAGGTGCTTGCTCTGGAGGCAGGACTGCTCCTTCTCCCTCCTTTCCGTTCCCTGCCTCCTCCCCACTCCTCCTGTTTCCTTAGCCTGCTCTGTAGGGGATGACAGAGGATGCCCAGAGAGGCTAAGTCACGACCAGGGCTCTCGTTCCAGGTGAAGCTTGTTCCACATCCCTTTCTAGGCAAGCAACCTCTCCATAAGCCTGCTCCTCAAAGCCATGGAACCCAACAGACCTATGTCCAGGTAGCAATGGAGAAAGGGAAAGAGAACTTCACCCTCATAGCCTCAGAGTTGCTGATCAACTTGACTGGTTTCATGGGGAATGAGAGCTACTTGGACAGCTTCCCCTCTTGGGGGTCTAGGGAGGTTGCTATGATCCATTGATTCACCAGGGCCTCAGTGTCCTGATTATAACCACTTTGCTATGAGGACACCATTGCTAAAGGTGACCATGTGTGGTAAGAGCATCTCAGGGACCTCAGAACAAAGCTTTCATCTGGGACCAGCGGCATTGTTTCCTTTGTGTGGTTTTGGAATTCAGAAGTACAGTTGTTTAGCAACTCAAATCCCCTCCTATATCCCAGCTCCATGTACCCCATAACCTTCCCCTTGTCCCCAGGGTCTATAGTGATGACTAACCCTTTCAGAATTTTGGTTTGACCGCTCAGAGTGCCATACAGAAATTACTGACCTTTGGGCATCCTCGGGCCCATGAGGTAGTTAGCCACAGGCCTTCGGATGAGGTTTGGCATTAGTGTTTTATGGTGGTGCCTGGAAGGATCTACCATAGAGGTCCTCTAAGTGTTGACGCTGGTGCAGACCAGAGCTGACACTGATCAAACACCTACCATGCAGCAGGCGCCGTGATAGGGGTAAAACATACATTGTTTTCAGTTACAACAGTATCTACAAGGTGGGCGCTATGACTATTCCCCTTTTATAGATACTTTACAAGTATTCAGAGAAGTGAAGAGACTTGCCAAAGAAACAACTAATGAATGGGGAAACTGGAAGCCACATCGATCTGCCCCCAAACCCATGTTTCTTGCCCTCACTGATCTGGTGCAGGCCCCTTACACTCCAAGACCTGTGTTTTCCAGACCCACACTTGGGCCCAGAGATGTGTGCCTGGCAGGGGTGATTCATGGCCACACCATGGCCAAACCATATCCATAGGCACACATTTCCCCTCCAACTGTGACCCACAGTTGCTCTAGGATCCTCACAGGCATCATTTGCTTGCACAAGACCCTTTGCTTGGAAGGTAGAGCAAGCCAGGGCTGTTGGGGCCTGCTGGGAGCCAAAGTTCTAGGAGCTGTTTCTGTAGGTCTGACCATTTGTGCAGTTCTAGATGAACCACATGGAAAGGCAGAAGGGGATTCAGAAACCGGTCCCATTGCTTTTTTGCTTAGAGAGATTCTGACTGCCGCATTGCTCTCTGCACTGCAGCCATGAGCCCCTATAGCCTTGCCTTCCTCTGGCTTTCCCTGTGGGGTGATGGCACCAACGAAGGGTGGCACAGCATGGCAGCCGCTCTCTGCTCTTTTTGTGTCCTCTTCACTTGCTTGAGCATGTCTTGAAAATATCCCTTATATTTGGGTAGCATCTTCAGTGTTTTTGCAGTAGCTCTATATTCAGCCTCGCATGCGATCCCCACCAGAGCCCCATGAGAAAGGCCGAGCAGGTTCTGTTATCCGCATTAATGGATGCGTTACGGGAGGCCAGAGAGGTTATTGCTCGTTTGTGAGGACAGGACTGGAATTTTAGCCCTGTGTTCTGACCTCTCAGCCATTAATCGGAGTCCTTTTTTCAGTCTGTCCTCTGCGGTGTCGCAGAGGTTCCTTGGAGGTGCCTCCGTAGCTGCCACAGCTGATACAGGTGTGCTGAGGGAAAAGAGCTCTGCCCTCTTCATCAAGCGGAGAGGCTTGTTTTTAATGACGTGAGATACACTGGGCTTCTGGGGAAATTTAATTTGAACAGTGTTTCCATTTGAAAAAAAAAAAGCCTAAAAATAATAGAACATCATTGTAGTGGATCTCACTACTTTTAACATTCTTAGCGTTTTCACAGGTACTACCTACCTTGTCGAACCCTCCTAGCTCTACCATCAGGAGATAAGGACCTGAGGTCCAGAGAGACTTAGCATCTTACCCCAAGTCACACAGCTTGTTAGCGGCAGGGATGGAGCTTGAACTGAGGTTCAAGAGCTCCCAGCTCTGCTCTTTTCCTCTTCACTGGACGAAGCCGCTCTAGGAGGGAGGCTGCCTCCATGTGCCCGCTCAGCCTATAATCCTTGCTTCCTTCCTGCCCCTTCCCCACTTCCCTCTTCTCTCCAGCCCATCATCTTCGTTTCGGACAGAGCAAACAGCAACAAGGAACTGGGTGTGGACCAGGAATCAGAGGAGGGCAGAGACAAAGCAAGCCCTGATAAGCCAGAGAAATCCCCACAGGTTTTTGAGCATGTGGCATGAATGGGGTGGCTAGCAAACAGTGGGGGCCTCTGGATTGGAGGGGCTGTATGGTGGGGTGTCCCTTTAATGTCTGCAGGTTTGGATTTATCCCAGTGACCTTTTCTCTCATCACGTTCTCCTAAAATTTGGGATGCTGCTTGGGCGAATGTCTTGAGGGGGTGGCATCCACACCAAGCCAGTCCCAGGCCTGGGAAGGACAGGCTAAGCCTGCCCACTGGAGCCCCCCAGCCAGGACAGCGAAGGAAAAGGAAGGCAGAGCCTGGGACACAGCCAGCTTGAGAGAGCCCAAGACAGAACAACTCCTGTGCCCTGGTGCCCTCGAGCTCTTGACAACGAGGGGATAAAGAATAGTAGCAGAAAAGGGATGGACATCCGCACTGGAGTCCTGTGGAGCCCAGGGAAGGGTATTAGATTGATGTGGGGAGAGGAGGTCATATAAAGCTTTAGTGGAGGTGAGGCTGAGGGACCAAAGTCCACAGATCAATCCGGGGCCACCTCCTCCATCGTGGAATGTCCATCGTGGAATGTCCTCCTCCATCGTGGCATGTGGGCATCCTCTGAGGATTTGGCCTTGATGACAGAGGTGGCAGGAAGTACCAAAATGGTCTGGTCCCCTTTGTCCTTCTAGAGCTCATTTGGTTCGGATGGTCAAGCTCAAAACAGTGGTGGGGGTGGGGAGAGAAGACCAAGGGGGCTGTCTCCATGTCGGCATGGCTTATCTAACTCCTCTGGCTGGGATGTCTGGAGCGAAGGGTCGCTGGGCCTAGAGGATTGTCACTCCGGCTCACTAGGTTCAACTGAGAAAAGCCATTTGTCCTGTACCCAGCTCCTGCTGCCATCTAGGGCTGGTTTAGGCACTCTGGCTCCCTCGACCCAAAGGAACTTTCCTCGTGGGTCTGTCTGTCTCCCTAATCACTGTGAACCACTTTTCCTTTGTGCTTCCACAGCCATGGCCTGACAACACCGGCCAAGAGACTGAGGAGCAGCAGCAGTTCCGGAACATTTTTAGGCAGATAGCAGGCGAGGTGAGTACTGCCAACCTGGACTCCTACAGAGGCTCCTCTCCTTGATTAGCTGCTCTGATGACCAGTTATTTCATTATTGTTCAGTAGGGGTCCTTCTGGCTTTTGGTGGAAACGGGGGATATGCATGTGTGCCACAGAAATCCACACACAAATCCTCAGGTCCTTGAGTTTAGACCAACATCCACTTGGGTGCCTCGGAGGCCTTTTTGCTCTGAGCTGCCCACTGTGGTCTGGACACTGAGGGTGCTGTGTCTTCCTTGGAAAAACCCCAGCTTCCCATGACAGAATAGCACTGACAGGGACTTTACCAACATGGAGAGCTGGGATTTGTTTTGCAAACCCTCTGTTCCATCAGCTACTGTCCCCTTGGACTGTCATTCTCTACTCCCTTCCTCCTCAGGATATGGAGGTCTGTGCAGATGAGCTCAAGAATATCCTTAACACGGTTGTGAACAAACGTGAGTGGCTCAGACTGTGTGTGGAGGACGGGCAGGCAATGAGTGTGTGTCCGGTTATCTGAAAGAAGCTCCTCACTCTTCTCCATACCTCCCAGATAAGGACCTGAAGACACAAGGGTTCACGCTGGAGTCCTGCCGTAGCATGATTGCTCTCATGGATGTATCCTTCCCGCCACCCTCCCCCCGCCCCATGCAGCCCCTGGGGGCCAAAGCAACAATGAGGGGTGCCCAGTGAGAAAGAGGGGCCGTTGGAGGAGGCACAGCTGGGCAGGACATTGGGTTGTAACCAGCCCCTAACCTCTGCCCTCACCTCAGGCCTGGGATTCTGCCTAAGGCCCTGCCCGAGCAAAAATGGTCCTTAGGAGACAGGCTCCTTGGGTTTTAGAGCAGACACTAACTTTGGCTGAGAAGGTGTGGAGGGGAGGGTTAAACCCCAGGACAGGACAGTGGGTAGGATATCTGGGGCAGAGCCTTCCTGTGAGGCGACCTTCCCTGTAGTCCCCTAGACCCCCCCTTCCTTCCAACCCAGGGGGATTTCGCTATGTGTGCCCTGTAGCCCTGACCTCCTTCCTCCAGACAGATGGCTCTGGGAGGCTGAACTTACAAGAGTTCCATCACCTTTGGAAGAAGATTAAAGCCTGGCAGGTGAGCAGAGAACGAAGCAAGGGAGTGAAAGAGGGGGTTAATTCAGAGGGTTACTATGTGACCTCTGTCCTGAAATTTTCTATTGCCAGAAAATTTTCAAACACTATGATACAGACCAGTCTGGTACCATCAACAGCTATGAGATGCGAAATGCAGTCAATGATGCAGGTGCTGGGGAAGCAAGTGGGTGGTGGGGATGTGGACTCCGGCTGGTGGAAGCAGGAACTGGAGGGTGGGGGCAGAAGGCCGCTAGGGGCCTACTAGCCAAAGGAAGGAGAAAGTGCTTCTCATCCCCCAGGCCAGAGTGGCTGAGAGGCAGGGAAAATAGAATGCCAGGCTAATCCTCAGCCTCCTTCGTCCTCTCCCGTGCTGCCCCCTACAGGATTCCACCTCAACAGCCAGCTCTACGACATCATCACCATGCGGTATGCAGACAAGCACATGAACATCGACTTTGACAGCTTCATCTGCTGCTTCGTCAGGCTGGAGGGCATGTTCAGTAAGTGCGGGGGCTACCTTTCTGCACTCTTGTGCCCCTCCCCCCACAGTGACAGGAGCCGCAATAGGAATCTCAGCCTGATCATCTTCTAGTCTACTCCATCCAACAGGGTCTGAACAAAAGCACAGACTCTCTTTAAGCTCAGAATGGCCTGGCAAAGGGAGGATGATGGTTGGTACTCGGCCCAGCAGATTTTTGTGCTGAAGGACAACACTTAGTACACAGTCCTCTTAAGAAAAGTTATAATACTGGAGGGGAAGGGACCCTTTAACTGGCCTCTGGCCTGTGCATTCTTCCACACAGGAGCTTTCAATGCATTTGACAAGGATGGAGACGGTATCATCAAACTCAACGTTCTAGAGGTAAAGCCTAATAGAAGCAGTACACTCACCACACGCCTTCAAATTCAGGGTGGAGGAATCAATGGAGGTGGAGGGATGGAACGGGAACGGAATGGAAAGGGAAGCTCAGCTGGGAATGTGGCTCGTAGGGAATGCGTACTGGGAGAAGTCTCCAACGGGGACTTGGATCCTAAAAGCTTTTAGGCTGGAAAATATACCTTTCTAGTAGAGATCGGAGAAGCATGCCATAAACCACTGCTTCTTAGAAAAATCTTCCCAGTGTCTGGCATGCTGGGGATGTCCCTTTCTCCCTACCCTATCACACCCTTAAGGTTGGGCTCTCTTTTCTTGTTCACATTCTGATCCTGGGACTTCCTCTTTCAGTGGCTGCAGCTCACCATGTATGCCTGAACCAAGCTGGCCTCACCCAAGGCCATACAGATCACTCAGGATTTCCATTTCATCCAATATAGCTACAGCCACTTACCTCAAAGGACACAGTAGCTGCACCTACCCCCCCACCCCCACCCCCTGCCGCAAGCCTCCAGGCGCCTCCTTGGTCTCTTTCCTCCTCTACTTCACTCCCCACTCAGCCTCAGGGCATCTGTCCATCTTTCACGCCCACACTGACCCTTCAGTTAAGGAACGAGGGAGAACAATTTTGTCCCTTTGCCAAATGGAGGCAAGTGTCTGTCTGCCTCAGGTAGTTGTAGCCCAGCTGAGAGGCTTGCTCAGAATCTGAGTGGCCTCAGTTCTGAAGGAAGTTCCTTAGCTGGCCCTAGGCTGTTCCCGGAAGCATTTGCCAATGGCACTCAGCATTTGCTGTGCTAGAGTCCTCCATCACCTTCATGTTGTCCCACTCATGGGACAGTAACCAAACTAGTACTTGGTTCTGATTGTTTCAGGATGGGCCCGCTCCGGGATAAACTAGCTCAGTGGAAGAGGGCTGGATACTTTGGGCTGTATGACTCATAAGTTTGGCTGCATTCTGAAAAGAGTTGATCTAAATAAAGGCATGTGTATGGCTGGTTTGGTTGTGTTTTTGTTTTCTCACATTTAGATATCAGCCAGAGCAGGGTTGAGTAGCTTCAAATCTTACACCCCTCTATCATGGAGAGAGCCCTTGTTTCAGAATACAATGATGGAAGACACATACACAAACAAAACCTGGGCCCCGTGTTAACCATGCCTATTGGTATTTCTTGAACATGGGAATCACTCAGATACTTTCCAAGATCGATGAGGAAAGGAAGGGGAACAGCTGTTGGTGTACAGAATAGCAAGAATAAATGGGTCACCTTATAATTGGAGGGGCTGGTTACCTGAGTGTAACGAAACCATGATGTAGGTGCAGTTTTTTGGGGAGTTATGCGTGTCAGGCATACGACACTAGAATTTGACATGTGTATACACTACAAAGTGATCACCCCAAAATCCGCTTACCATCCATTACCCTAGAAGCAACCCTCTTTCATACCTATCCCCTAGTGCCCCACCCCCTAAACCCCTTCCCCTCTGGTAACCACAGGTCTGTTTCTGTATCTGAGTTTTTGTGATTCCACATATGAGCAAAATCATACAGTATTTGTCTTTCTCCTTCTGATTTATTTCACTTAGCTTAATACTCTCAAGGTCCACCTATGTTGTTGCCAAGAGCAAGATTTCATTTTGTTTTTTTTTTAAAGCTCAGTAGTATTCCATACATATACACCACATCTTCTTTATCCATGCATCCACTGATGGACATATAGGTTGTTTCCATATCTTGGCTATTGTAAAAAATGCTGCAGTGAACATAGGGGTGCATGTATCTTTTCCATAGTGGCTGCAACAACTTATAACCCACCGACTGTATGAGGGTTCCCTTTCCTCTACATCCTCACCAACACTTATTATCTTTTTGATAATAGCACAGAGCTGACAGATGTGAGGTGATAACTCATGGTGGTTTTTACATTTCCCTAATAATGAATGATGTTGAGTATCTTTTCATGTGCCTGTTGACCATCTGAATGTCTTCTTTGGAGAAATGTCTATTCAGATCATCTGCCCATTTTTTAATTGGGTCTTTTGTTGTGGTTGAGTTACCTGAGCTCTTTACATATTTTAGATCTGAACCCCTTACCAGATGTATAATTTCCAATTATGTTCTCCCGTTTAGTAAGTTGCTTTTTTGTTTTGGTGATGTTTCCTTCACTGTGCAGAACCTTTTTAACTTGATATGGTTGCACTTATTTTTGCTTTTGTTTCTGTTGCCTTTCAAGTCTGATCACAAAAACATTACTAAGAGGATGTCATGGAGCTTACCACCTATGTTTTTTTCCCAAGAATTTTATGGTTTCAGGTCTCAGATTCAAGCCTTTAATCCGTTTTGAGTTAATATTTGCGTATGGTAGAAGACCATGGTCTAGTTTCATTCTTTTGCATATGGCTGATCAGTTTTCCCACCACTAGGTATTGAAGAGACTGTCCTTTCTCACTGTATGTTTCCACTTCGTCAGAAATTAATTGCCCATATAGGTGTGGGTTTATTTCTGGGCTCTCATTTCTGCTGCATCGATCTGTGTATCCGTTTTTGTGCTGGTACCATACTGTATGACTCCTATAGCTTTGTAGAATGGTTTGAAACCAGGAAGCAGTGATACCTCCAGCTTGGGTCTTGTCAAGATTGCCTTGCATTTTGGGGTTCTTTTGTGGTTTCATACAAATTTGAAGATTGTTCTATTCCCTGAAATATGTCATTGGTGTTTTGGTAGGGATTCATTAAAATCTATGGATTGCTTTGGGTAACATAGGCATTGTAACCATATTAATTCCTCCAATCCAGAAGTATTGAGTATCTATTTGTGTCTCCAATTTCTTTTATTAATGTTTTGTAGTTACCAATGTGTAAGTGTTTTACCTCCTTAGTTCAATTTATTGCTAGGCATTTTATTCTTTTTGATGCAACTGTAAATAGGGATTGTTTTCTGGATTTTTGATAGTTATTACTGTTTAGCAATACAACATGTTTTTGTATATTGATTTTGTATCCTGCAACTGTACTGAATTTTTTATTCCAAGTTTTTTTGTTTTTGTTTTTTTTTTGTTGTTTTTTTTTTTACAGGATCTTTAGGGCTTTCTACGTATAATATCATGTCATCTGCAAATAGTGACAGTTTTACTTCTTCTTCTGATCTGGATGCATATCTTTTTCTCACCAAATTATCTGGCTAGGACTTCTAATACTATGTTGAATAAAAGTGGTTAAGTGAGCATCCTTGTCCTGTTCCTGATCTTAGACAAAATGCTTGCAGCTTTTCCCCATTGACTATATTGTTATCATAAATGAATGTTGAATTTTGTCAAATGCTTTTTCTCCATTTATTGAGATGATCATGTTTTTATCCTTCTTTTTGTTAATGTGGTGAATAACACTGATTTACAGATGTTGAACCACCCTGTATTACTGGAATAGATCCCATTTGATCATGGGTATGATCCTTTTATTTTTTTTTAACTTTTTTTTTTTTTAACGTTTATTTATTTTTGAGACAGAGAGAGACAGAGCGTGAACGGGGGAGGGGCAGAGAGAGAGGGAGACACAGAATCGGAAGCAGGCTCCAGGCTCTGAGCCATCAGCCCAGAGCCCGACGCGGGGCTCAAACTCATGGAGCGTGAGATCGTGACCTGAGCTGAAGTCGGACACTTAACCGACTGAGCCACCCAGGTGCCCCTCCTTTTATTTCTTTTTTAGTGTTTTATTTACTTTTAAGACAGAGAGAGACACAGCATGAGTGGGGATGGGGCAGAGAGAGAGGGACACACAGAATCTGAAGCAGGTTCCACGCTCTGAGCTGTCAGCACAGAGCCCGGTGCAGGGCTTGAACCCATGAACTGAGATAATGACCTGAGCCAAAGTCAGACATTCAACCGACTGAGCCACCTGGGTGCCCCAATCCTTTTATTTTGGGGGGGATATGATTCCTTTTTAAAAATGTTTATTTTTGAGAGAAAGTGCATGCGCATGAGCATGGGTGGGGAGGGGTAGAGAGAGAAGGAGACACAGAATCTGAAGTGGGCTCAGGCTCTGAGCTGTCAGCACAGAACCCGACCTGGGGTTCAAACCCACAAACTGTGAAACCATGACCTGAGCTGAAGTTGGACGCTTAACCAACTCAGCCACCCAAGCACCCCAAGACATGATCCTTTTAATGTATTAATTCGATTTGCTAGTATTCTGTTGAGGATTTTTGAATGTCTCTTCATCAGGAATATTGGCTTGTAATTTTCTAGTGGCATCCTTGTCTAGTTTGGGCATTAGGGTAATAATGGCCTTGTAAAATGAGTTTGAGAGTGTTCCCTCCTCCTGTTTTTTGTTTGTTTTGAAGAATCTGAGAATTACTATCCATTCTTCTTAAAGAATGGGTATTAATTCTTCTTTGAATGTTTGGTAGAATTCACCACTGAAGCCATCTGGTCCTGGACTTTTGTTTGTTGGGAGGTTTTTGATTATTGATTTAGTTTCCTTACTAGTAACCAGTCTGTTCAGATTTTCTATCTCTTCTTGATTCAGCATCGGTAGGTGGTATGTTTGTAGGAATTGATCCATCTCTCCCAAGTCGTCAAATTTGTTGGTGTTCATAGTCTCTTAAATTTATACTTCTGTGGTATCAGTTGCAAGGTCTCCTCCCTTTCTTTCTGATTGTGAGTCCTTTTTTTCTTGGTGAGTGTGGCTAAAGGTTTGTCAGTTTTATCTTGTCAATGCAGCAGCTCTTAGTCACTGACCTTTCTACTGCGTTGCAGTCTCTATTTCATTTATTTCCACTCTGATATTTGTTTCCTCCCTCCTACTTACTTTGGGCTTTGTTTTTTCTTTTTATACGTTATTTTAACTAGAATATTAGATTGGGATTTTTATTTTTCTTGAGGTAGGCCTGTGATGCATCCCACAGAATTTGGTAGGTCTTACTTCTGTTCTCATTTGTCTCTAGGTTTATATATATATATAAACCTAAGATATATATATATCTTATATATATATATACGATATATATCTCATATATATGATATATATATCATATATATGAGATATACATATAAGATATATATAGATATAGATATATATCTTTGATCTCTTCAATGACCTACTGATTGTTCAGCGGCATATTGTTTAGTGTCCCTACTTTTGTGTTTTTCCAGTTTTCTAGTTTTTCCAGTTTTCTTGTATTTGATTTCTAGTTTCATACCATTGTAGTTGGAGAAGATGCCTGATAGGATTTCAATCCTGAATTCATTGAGACTTGTTTTGTTGCCTAGCTAATGATCGATCTTGGAGACTGTTCCATGTGCACTTGAGAAGGATGTGTATTCTGCTGCTTGACTGGAACGTTCTGTGTGTATCTATTGAGTCCATCTGGTTGGGGCACAGCTGCTGCACAGGGAGGGTGGAACATGCCCAGCCCAGTTGCAGTGTACTCACCTGGCCCCTTTGTGGTGTGGCTGCTTGCATCGGTTCAGTGGCACACGGAGTATGCTCACCAGTGCTAGGAGGCTACAGGGTGAGCACCAAAAATGGTGCCCACCAGCTCTGTCACCAGCTGGTTAGAAGATTGCAAAAATGGCACCAGCCAGTGCTTCTATCCCCAGAGAAAGTCACTGCAGGTTCTTGCCTGTTTGCCACTTTAGGATTAGCAAGTGGGTCTCTCCCTCTGTCAGAGTCTAGGCACTTTTCAAATTATTTTTGCACTGGATCTCAGGATGAGTGGGTGGGCATGTGAGCCCTTTAACAGTAGATTCTTTGTTCCCTACAGTTCTATAGTCTCCCTGGACATAATCCCTGTTGATTTTCAACATCAGGTGTTTTGAGAGTCTGTCTTTCTGGTGCCAGACACAAGGGTCTGGGTGCCTAAAGTGGGGCATACTCCCTTCACTCCTCAAGGGAAAGCTCTATTTTTCGGATCCCTTCCCAATAGTGGGTGGCTGTACCTCAGGTAGGATCCAGAGGGTGAGTGAGTTTCTGCCTCTCCTACCTGTCTCAATGCATCTCTTGTATCTTTTCTTTTGGAGGTGCTGTTAATCCAGTCCTCAGGTCCTTTACAGAGGAAAATTATTCCCTCTATAGCTGTAAATTTGTTGTTATACCTGGGAGGAGGTGAACTCAGGGTCTTCTACACAGCCATCTCGAACCCCAGAGATGTAGTTTTAATCTTGCTCTTCCATTAACTAACTAACCTGTTTTACGACCTTGGACAAATCCATAAATGTAGCTGTTTGCCAAACTTATCTGGATCGTGGTCTGTGGCGTATCTATAACCATCTTGTGTTTCCCACCCAGTTTTCTTCTTACTGTCTGTTCCAACATGGAAAAGAAAGGGTGGGCTATTAATATCCAGATAAGGTAGGAAAAGTAAACAATTAGTAAAAGTACTTTATTTTCCTCTTGTATTTGCTTTATATCTTGCTTTACAAAGTTATGAAGTTCACAGCTTTATACCAAAATGTAAGAAGGCTAAGCTATTTGCTTATAAACATTTTTGCAGTCAAATGTCATCTGATTTCATTCTTCTAATCCATATTCAATATATAAAAAAATTCAGAGACCAAGGGTACTGGAGCAGCTCTAGGGCATATATTTCTCTTAAGGAGGAGAAAGATCTTCAACAGCCTTTCCTCCTTAACTTCCTCCCCCACTGATTCAACTGGGCTAAGGCCTTGAATTTAGGGCAAAACTAGGAGTCAGTTGTCATGTGACCCAGCAGGGCCACAGACTTGGGGGCTGGAGGTGAGGTTAGAGGTTACTGTCTGGTAAGCATTATGTTTGGTTTACACCAAGATTTCACATCCACTTGCATGTGGAACTCATACAACCCAAACCACCTCCATCATGGCTTCTATCATATCCATTAGACGGCTTCTCTGAAATCCTGAAAATCGTGATCATTTGGGGCAGGGATGAAATCACAATTTTACGCATGTGGTAGGCATGGCCTTTGTATTTAACAGTTTTAGGAGGTCTCCTTTTGGTAGCAGAAACAAAATTTTTAAGTATGCGCATACAAATTATAGTGATTTGAGCAAACCAAGAGGATATGTGCTGTTTAAATCCCACTTCACAAGATACTTTGATCTCCCCTCCGATGAATTCTTTTCCATAAAATATACTGTACCATTCCACTAAGTGTTGTATACCTACTCCCACCACATTGTCCACATACCTACTCACTAAAGTTGTCTACTGTATACAATACCCCAAAACAGAAACAAAAAAGCCCCCTCTGTTAGACAAACAATCACGTGAACAGCGATAATATTGCCGATAAATTACAGGAAAGTCAGGAGCTAAACACTCAACTGCTCACTTCTGAGGCAGAAAAATATTTTCCCCACAAAAGTAGGACTGTAGTAACAATGGCGTTTCCTCAGTTTCAAGTAACATCAGTTGGAGATAATTCTTTGCTCTTAGGTGCTTAACTGCTTTCTAACTGAGTAGAGGAGTGCCAAAATAAGTTTTGAACCTGATTAAAAACTCTGGGATAAAACTTGAAGTGACTGATAGCTTGTCATAACAAACTGCCATTAAAACGCTAGCATAAGCACACAAAAGGACTGATAACCACAGTTTTCTTGGCTTCTAGCCGTTAGAAGTAGGCACAGGCAATTAAAGATAACATTCTAAAAATGGCCTCCAACTCCTTACAAGAAATGAGTTGGGTTTTGTCAGGTCATGTTAACACCTTCCTTCATTAAGCACTAAATACCAAGTCAAGGCAAAATCCTGAGCCACCCCTCTTCTCTAAGTGAAGACAGAGGGCTAGCATCAGTTAAGACACTGTAAAAGACAAAAAATAGTCAAAGTTCTGCATACCTTTCAAGACCCCTAAAAGTAATAACACAACCATAAGCAGCCAAGATGCTTATGGTGCCTTTATTTCTAAACAGAGGGCTCAAATAGTGCACTTAGGATAACACACTAACCTGCAATAAAAGAATTTCACACATTCTTGAAACAAAGACATTATTACCATGGCCTCAAATTGTGTGCGTGTGTGAAATGAGGAAAAGCATTACAGGTATAGGTGCCCACGCGCATACACACGTCCAAGGAACATTCACCCTGCACACACAAAGGCAGATAGACTATGCACAATTCTACCAAAATTAAACCCAAATCAGTTGTTACTGATTCTATCATACCTTCAAAGGTTCCCCACGATTGCCCAACACCTCACATATCCCCTTCCTGCTGTCCAAAGGCTCCACCATGCTCATCTTTTCAGACATGTCCTCAGGCAGGACAGAAGAGCACCTATGCATAACAGAGTATGCAAGACTGTCTTAACACACTGACCAATCAACACAGAAATGCAGCTTCACGACAGCCCTGAATAAAATGCCAGGTGTAGTAATAATTTCTGACAGCTTTCCTGGGAAATCCCCCTTCCCAAACCCACATGACAGCCTGGCTTCCCTGCTCATCCATACAAGAAATGAGGAGGAGAGGTAAGAAAGCTTCTTAATCGCATACAGAAACGGCACAAATACATTTTATGCAAGAGAATCTTCTCCTTTCTCTCTCAGGTATCATGCAAACATCAATAGTCTGGTCAAAAAGTCTTCCTATTCACAAGGATAGAAGTAAACAGTTTTTGGGGCCATTCGTTATTTAGTAGTAGCTCTTAGATTAGCTTTTTTTTTTTTTTTTTTTTGGATCCAGTAAGAACCCCTGGAGCTCTTCCTGGAAAAAAAGAACACATACTTGCATACGATTTCATACCCTCTTGAAACCTATCCATGAATGCTTCATGAAGTCCCCCAGCCCTAGAGCCTGAGTGAAGACATGTGAGTAGGTGTGTGTGTGCACTAAAAGGGGTGGAGATAAACCTGCACGCTACGCGATCCTAGAAAACAGCAGGTGTCACATCCCGAAGCCTGGTATGTGGCACTGAGCTCTTCTCCCTCCTACCACTCTGAAAAATCTTTCAGAGTTTTGAGAATCCAGAAACAAAAGGCTAGAAAGCAACACTTCTATAGCTTCTCTCAAGAGTCCAGAGAAAATCCAGAAACAAAGCAGTCTCACTAGGCTTTGTTAATTTGTCTGCTCTCAGTGGACAAGTAGCGTCTTCACCCTCACCATGCTCCACTCTTCTTGGCCAGCTACAGGGAAGGTGAAGGCAAGACACCAGTTCAGAAATAAGTCTCTAAGAAGCCTGCTTGAGCCCCTCAAGACTGTATTCAGATGCTTTATCCTAACTCCCCCTTCTTGAGTGCTGCAGGTGGGTGGAAAGCACCCCAGGGGCCCAGAGGAAGCATTTGATGGCTGCCAACAGTCTGGGCACAGCTAGATAGTGGAGGAGAAAGGGATTTGTAATGGAGCAAACTAAAAGGCTGCAAACCCACAGCAGGACTGGCGAGTCAAAAACTGGAAAAGGAGATCTACACCTCCAGTTCAAACAGCCTGCCAATACCTGCAGCAGTGAGTGCCTGGGTCTAACAGCAAAATTCCAAGGTAGACGTTGGGTCTGTGCACTATCTTGAACTGAGTACTCTTATCACAACTTGAACAGAGGTTCGAAAGGAAGTGCTATCTGTGAGGACTTGTCATTATGTGATCTGCTGAGTTCCTAAAATTTCAGCAGAGCAGTCGCTCTAGCCGTTAATAATCTACTGTGTGTCCCTTTGAGATTTAAAGCTAGCTCTGTCCATCTACAAAGCAAGAGGATATTGAAACACACTGCACATAATCGTTAAGAAAGGAAACTAGTTGCTTCTAATTTAAATACCCAGTTATTAGAACTAAAAAAATTAAAACTGATCCTAAAAATCTAGCATTTGAACAAACTTGTACTTAAAAAGCCGGACTATGGGTTTAAACCATCATAAGAACGTAAACTAAAACTTGCAAACTGAAATCAAGAAACGACTACATATTAATCATATGGGTCAAACTGAGTAGCCAATTAAGATCTGTATTTTTAATAAACATCTGGAGAATACTAGTAGCATAGACGACTATATTCCATGCTGTCTCAGAGAAGTATGGTTCCCTAAAATCTGTTTAAATCGGACAAACCTCCAGTAAGAACTTAAAGTGTAACTATCATCCCATAGAGCTGCCCAGACTTATGTTAGTGGTAAGCCTGGCTGGTAACAACTTTCTCCTTCCCTGCTTCTCTGGGGAAGGGAAGATTGTGGCCTCTGTGAGGGGCCGATGTGAAATTAGTTCAATTAATAACTTCCCAACATGGGAGGCAAAAAGCTTCATGAATCAATTTTGCTGTCATCCTCAGCATGTCGTTCAATGTGTCCTGCAGCATCCTAGGAATAAAGGGAAAAGAGCCCATGAGAGAGAAGTTGATAGTAGGACAAGAGACAGTTAAAGCCAAGGAGAGCTTCATGGGCACATTCTAAGATCCACACATTAAAGGTACCTAGGACCCAGCACTTTGCTAACTTACATGAAAACATGCACTTCAAGATGAGTTCTTATCTTATACAAGAGCACTGTAACAAACTTCTAGGTTCAGTTATTGGATTTGAAACATTTGAAAACATTCTCTTTGGGCTCTTTCTCAAAAACTACCTAATTCGGGGCGCCTGGGTGGCTCGGTCGGTTAAGTGTCCGACTTCGACTCAGGTCATGATCTCATGGTCCGTGAGTTTGAGCCCCGTGTCGGGCTCTGTGCTGACAGCTCAGAGCCCGGAGCTGGTTTCAGATTCTGTGTCTCCCTCTCTCTATGCCCCTCCCCTGTTCATGCTCTGTCTCTCTCTGTCTCAAAATAAATAAACGTTAAAAAAAAATTTTTTTTTAAACAAAAAAACAAAAAACTACCTAATTCATCATCTGAAACCTCATTAAGCTATTCCTCAAATCTCTGAATAATAATAAAAAGGAAAATCTCTCCCTATTTATTCCAATTCTCAACATTCTAATAAGGCAAAAAAGGTTTGCCTGCTCTGAGCAGTCGAATAGACCCCAGGTCGGCCTCAAGTCCCACTCAGGTACCTGTTTAGACCCTTTCCTAGCGGTGAAAAAGGCATCACAGTTCTTCCAGCGACATTTCAGAGTTTGAAAGTTTGGATTCGTATGGTCAGTGAGCAAATGTTGTTTTAAATGATCCACAACGCCAAATATCAGAGAGCAACCATGCCACTGGAAAGAGAACAAAAAGGAAAGTTAAAAAGTGTACAGGAAGCATGCAACTGCGATTAGAAAGCCCCTCACTTGTATCCTATAAGTTTTGGGCAAAAAAAAAAAAGCAATCCCCTTAGGCTTTATTCTTAGATAGAAAATATAACAAAGCCAGAGGCACCCACATTGATTAACAATATCATGAGGAGCCTTGAAAAGCCTGGAAAGTCTCGACACTGTGTGATATTGAAAAGGCAAAGCACTAAGATAGCTGTATCGTTAAGAGAGATAAGGAAAAGGTTAGCAAAAATTGACAGACAACTTATCATAAAATTCAGTTTACACCACACTTATTTTTTTACCTTGCCATCACAGAATGAGTTCCTTAGTCTACTTATTTAAAAAGACTAAGAGCTCCCTGTAATACTGAAGGGGCTGTTTCTAACAATTCTAAGAACTGCTGATTTATAAACTTGAAAATAAAAATGTCTGATAAAACTACGTTGCTATGGAAGCCTCAGAATCTTTATCACTTGAATCACAATCTTGTTTCTTTTTTTAAATTCTAATTTTACTATAAAATATGTGGCTCAGGGGTAAATGTGGCTCAGTCGATTAAGCATCTGACTTCGGCTCAGGTCATAATCTCTCCGTCTGTGGGTTTGAGCCCCCACTTCAGCCTCTGTGCTGACAGCTCAGAGCCTGGAGCCTGCTTCGGATTCTGTGTCTCCCTCTCTCTCTTCCCCCGCTCACAGTCTCTGTCTCTCAAAAAATGAATAAAAACGTTAAAAAAATTTTTTTAGTAATAAATAAATGTGGCTCAATTCTCAATTTCACTTGTTAGTGAAAAAGCATACAGACTCTCTCTTGGTATTTATCCTACAAGCCTGCTGATCATAAATCTTACAATTCTAATTCTAACACGTTCATTTTTTGTTTGTTTGTTTGTTTTTATTTTTGAGAGAGACAGAGTGTGAGCAGGAGAGGGACAGAGTGAGGGAGACACAGAATATGAAGCAGGCTCCAGGCTCTGAGCTGTCAGTACAGAGCCCAATCTAAAAATGGAGGGTGTCAATTTCATTCCATCAATTCTACAAAGCATGTTAGGGTATTGGGAGGGGGGAATTTCAGCCATAAACGTTTCTTTGATCACTACTAATATTAGAACTGATGAAACAAATTAAGGCCTATAAGGAACAATGTACAAGTTTGGAGCTCCCACCCCAAAATAAAAACCAGGCAATTTAGCCTAGGCAATGGAAGTTTAAAACCTTCCAGAATACAAATTTTTATTGGCCTATTCCTCAAAAACCAATGTGGACACAAATCAAACTATTAATACAAGTAATCCCTGTATAAGCTAGTAAGCAGGTCACAAAAATAAACACTTGCACTCATTTCGTAAATAGTTGATCCTTAAACAACATAGGTTTGAACTGCGTGGATCCACTTATACATGAACTTTTATCAATAAATACAATATAGTACTGTAAATGTATTTTCCTTATGATTTTATCTTATTTACTTATTTAAGTAATCTCCACACCCAATGTGGGGCTCGAACTCACAACCCTGAGATCAGGAGTCACATGCCCTACCAACTGTGCCAGCCAGACACTCCTCCTTACATTTTAGTAACATTTTCTTTTTTCTAGCTTACTATATTGTGAGAATACAGTCTGTAATACATATAACATACTAAATATGTGTTAATTGACTGTTTATGTTGTCAGGAAGGATCAACAGTAGGCTATAAGTACTTAAGCTTTGGGGGAGTCATAAGTTATATGCAAATTTTCAACTGTATGGGGTTTGGTGCCTCTATAACCATCTGCACTGTTCAAGGGTCAACTGTACTCTTGACATTTTTGTAAGCATGTACTGATTTTATAATAAACAAAACCACCAAAGAAATAACCTGGGTGGATGATACATAAACATACCTCATATCTAATCTTAAAATAGATTATTCATGAAAGAAGTATGGAAGTATTTTATGTACAGTTTTAACTTTTTTAAATCATTTTTTTCAAATGTTTCTTGAGGATGCCTGGATGGTTCAGTCAGTTAAGCATCTGACTTCGGCTCAGATCATGATCTCACAGTTTGTGAGTTCGAACCCAGCATCAAGCTCTGTGCTGACAGCTCAGAGCCTGGAGCCTGCTTCGAATTCTGTGTCTCTCTCTCTCTCTCTGCCCCTCCCCCGCTCACTCTGTCTCTCAAAAATAAACATTTAAAAAATTTTAAAAATAATAAAAATAAATGATAAAAATATTTTCTTTTTTTTTAATGTCTATTTTCGAGCACGCACACACAGACACACACACACACACACAGACACACACACACGAGTGGGGGAGGGGCAGAGAGTGAGGAAGACAGAGTATCTGAAGCAGTCTCTGTGCTGATAGCACAGAGCCCAATATAGAGCTCAAACTCATGAACTGTGAGATCATGACCTGAGCCAAAGTTGGACGCTTAACTGACTGAGCCACCCAGATGCCCCTATGTACAGGTTTTAAAAATAAGCTTCCTTGGCCTACAGCAGGAGGCATAAAGTAGACACTCAAATACAAAAATGCTTAATTGATGATGATGAAGATGTATAAATTAGCCTAGGGTTAAACAACTCCTAAGTCTGGTCATAAGAACAGTTTCGCTCCTTACCCAACAGCGGTAATTCTGCATCAGATTCAGCCTTACAGCTTGAATACTGCCATCATAACAGCCAGTGTAAATCTGGGGGAAAGAAAGGTTTATCCTATCAGACCAAAACAACACACAAAAAACAACTACTCAATATTCCAAAAATACGTGTCAAAAGCTCCTTGTACCAGCTACAAGAAAATACAAACCTAAACCAAACCCAGCCCCAGAGTACAACAGTGGGGAAGTATCTTCTAGTATAGATACTTTGAAGCCTTGCTCCTTCCAGAACGCTGGCTGAGAGCCTAAGTGGCAGGGCTCAGAGGCACCCACTTACATTGTAACTGGTCCACTCTGGCTACTGGGCATTGTATGCTACCTCGGGCATAATATATTAGCCGTCTGTGTTTCACTGGAACAAAGGGTTCTAAGGCTCAGAGTCTGAAAAACACCCATTCTGGTCCAACCACATAATTTAAAAATAAAATAAATCAAGGCTTAGCGGGGTTAAATGAGTTAGCTTCTACTTTTAGGTCTGCTTTCACTATGCCATACTGGCCTAATCTCCTGACTCTATTCCAATGTTCTGTTCGGATCATAATGTCTCTGGAAAAAGCACCACTCAATTTTGGGGGGAAACATTTTAAACTTATATTCTGTTTAATGGTGTTATCAGATTCTTATTGTAGTTATTTTAGCTATTAATAGAAAAGGGAATATTCAACAATGTCACTGGGTTACTTCTCGATAATAGCATGCCAAAAGAAAGAAAGGCATTCAATATCAGAATGCCTACCAGATGCCCCTCCCCCGTTCATGCTCTGTCTCTCTCTGTCCCAAAAATAAATAAAAACGTTGGAAAAAAAAAAAAAAAAATTAAAGAATGCCTACCAGAAACGTGTCATTTTTGGAAGTGATAAATAGTAATATTGTTATCAGTTTGTAGTTTTTAGTAATAAGCATATTCAAAAGCAAATATGTAACATGGCTAATAACACTCACCATACTTTTATGGATGGTCATACACATAATCATGTCTTTGTGTCCTCCATAAACTTGCAATCGATCATGGGACTTAGGTGGAGGAAAAAAATAGAGAATTAAGGTTATTTATACCCTGTGGTTAATAAGCATAATCCCTGGAGGCCTCTGGCAGGTTTAGCACTAAGCTGATGCACCAGTAGCATTTTCACAGAAACATAATCTAATGACAATCTTTCGAATAAGTCTTCAAGGGAGGAGCTGGTAACTGGAAATGAGAAAACTAACTTCTGTGCAATGTCAAAGTCTAAACCTGAAATTGCACACCAAGAGAACTAGACAGGTTTTAGAGACTAACTCTGCTCTCCAAAAACCATTTTAGTATTGACCTCTGTGAGCCAGACCATGTCTTTCAGAGCAGTGTTTCTGACAGTCCAAGGATCATCTGCTTCATAATTATCTAGAGGGCCTGTGAAAAATGCAGATTCCTGGGTCCCACCCCAGCCTTACTGTATTAAAAATAATAATAACAATAACAATAATAATAATAATTCAATACCCAACCCAAACAGGCCTATTCCCCAAATCATTCAAGCAAAATACTGGATCTAAATTCTACCTGTAATTCATAGACACGAACAAATTTATCCAGGCAAGCAGTCACCATCACTTTCCCTAGGATATTCACCACAGTCACTGCATGATTGTGACCTTTATAGATCCGCACAAGCTCACCAGTCTGCATCAGAAAAGAGACAAGTCACTAGACTGACTTTCCAGATTCCTCTGACTTTTGAGATTTATGATTCTATTATTCCAAGTTGTAATTCTGAGCCTACTTGTACACAACGTAGCTGTACTAATTTTAACAGCTCAGGTACCTGCATAAGCATTTATTACAATATACATAGATAATATGCATGAAATGTATCCTGATGGAGAGAACCTATTGTCACACAAAGAGAAGGGCTACAACTCTATCTGTATGTATTTTATAGGTTTTAAAGAATTTTCACTCTTATCATTTTGTTGTGTCTGGACAAGTCCCTGAGGTTGCAGTATCCCCAGGTTTATAGACCGGGCACTGAGCGTCAAAGAGCTGCCTCTATGACCTGAGCAGAATCTCTCAGCTGTTTTTATTTGTTCTATTTTAAACTACGTATCACATCCACTTTCTCAGAGCCTCAGATGCTCAATTTATCTCAGGTTTAAATGAGACAAACTAAACCTTACGTAAACTTTGAATCTGTCCCCCATTAAAAATTTTGAAGAGGCCAGAATTTCTCAAGTGCTCACTATCTTCCAAGAGCTTATGCAGGTAGGGATTATTAGTAAGCTTTTCAATATAAATATTAAGCTTGCAATATAAAAGGCAAGAGGTCTGAGGAATCCTTCAAGGTTTAATCTTCATTCCATTAAAGATTTCTTTACACCAACACAACCTACATGAATGTTGTGCGCGTGGACTGACTGATCGCTGGAGCCACTGAACACAAGGTCATTCACCACCTTAAAGAAAAAAATTCATTGAGTTACATTTGGTAAAAGGTTCTGAGCCTTCTCTGTAATTTATAATGTACACTGTTGTTCTAATTTCCAACCCACTTTGAGATGAGCATCAACTAGATATAAAACACCAAGTTCCTCAAATTTTCTGAAATGAAATTTAGGGCCTACCACCAGGTACTCTGATGAAGTGACAATGTATTATTGGGTTTGTTACCTCGTCAGAACGATTGTGAAACTGCCTAGAAGGACTTTAAAGTGTATCTACATTCTGTAATAAAATACACTGTTTCTCCATTAATATATTAATGTATTAAAATACAGTCCAACTCCAACCCCGCAAAAAAAAAAAAAAAAAATACATCCCTTGGTCACCCAGGCCTAAAGAAAAGCACCGTAATCTCCTTGCTCTTTTCCAGATGATGTGCTGTAGATAAGGCATTAGATGACAAGACAAATGGCACTCAAATCCTTTTATTTGTGCCAACTGACTCCTGTTATCTTGCACTGTACTTGCCTTCATGCAAAGAATGGTTTTGCTGTGGCCCTCTAGGGTCCTGAGAAGGAGTCCATTCCGTGCATCACGGACACTAATGGTACAGTCATAAGATCCAACAACAAGCAGCTTTCGGGCACCTTCCTGAGCTGTGGCAAGACAGCTGACAGCCCGAGGGCCATGGCATTCAAAGATTTCAAGTCGTTTATTGTTCTGAAAAATAAGCCACCATTATATGAAATAAAAGCAGCTTGGCTGGTAAATATCAAAATCAACTCACCCAAATCACTACCTTGATTCAAACTCTTAAATTCTACTACCTGTTAAGTTCTCATACCCCCTGCGAATCTTTTAACTTCCCAACCTCTGCTATTCCCATTCCAACTCTCTTTGTGTCCATGACTCCCTCCTCCCCCATTCTAGTGCGGGCACGGCAAATTCTTACATTATAAACACATTTCTAACTTCCACCTATACTATCTGATCCTAGTTAGCACTTGACTCTCTTTTATGCCTTCTCTCAGTTTCCTTAAGTTAATGATAACAGATGATCGACTTTCTTTTTCATATGCTCATACATTTTCCTTGCCATAGACCCAGAAGCTCTTTCTCTGTATTCTGTCATCCAAACTTTATGCAAACAATTTGTCGTATGTTTCCAAATTTCTCCACTGAGAATGACTTACTTACAAATAATTTCAGTAAGAATCTCTCATTCTCCACCTGTTATTCCCAAGTCCTTCTGATTTCTGGTTCTATGTCATCTCTCATGACATCATTTAGTGAACTAGAGAAGCCTTTTATATCAGAGTTGCATCGTCACATCCTGAATTCCCAAACATTCCTTTACCTCAGATCTTAGACTTGCTTCCCTCAGTCCCACACCAACCTTGTCCATAAAGTCTCCCATTTCCCCAAAATCTCTAAAAAGGAACATCAGGCACATGCAAGGGGTGAAACTCGTAGAAACTTCACAAAGGAGCAGCTGGTAGCCTCCAGGGCTAAGCAATGACTCCAGCCATCATAGGTGTTGGGGAAACAGCCTGATGGGAGTTTAGAGACCACTGGTGGACAGGCTCTAGTAAACAGCCCTGGCTTTCTGTTAAGACCTCAGAAGCACTGCATTCAGGTGTATGGACAAACCAACAAGGGCTCAGTGCTCACGAGGCTTCAAAATTCCAATGTCTGCAGAGATTCTCAAATCTCTATTTCCAAATCCACCTTCTCTGTGGCTTTTCAACCATTTACATTTCAATTTCTTGTCTTCATCCTGCCTCAAAAGTCCTGTTCCTGACTTTTGTCTACCTTTGATGACATTACTCTCACAAAAGACAATTAGAGAATTATCAAGTTTTAGTCTTTAAAATATTTTAAATTTATTCTTTCTTCTTCATTTCTTTTGCCCTAACCAAATCTAATGTAGGCTGTTAACACTTCACATCTGGAATGTAACAACCTTCACTAATTACCCTTCTGTGATCTCTTCATAACCTAGTACTTGATTACCTATGTGCTAGCTTCTTCTAACTTGATTTTAAGCTTCTTTTAAAAAAAAATTTTTTTAAACTTATTTATTTTTTAGAGACAAAGTGAGACAGAGCATAAGTGGGGGAGGGGCAGAGAGAGAAGAGAGACACAGAATCCAAAGCAGGCTCCAGGCTCTGAGCTGTCAGCACAGAGCCCGACACGGGGCTTGAACTCACAGACTGCGAGATCATGAATTGAGCCAAAGTCGGACACTTACCCGACTGAGCCACCCAGGCGCCCCTAAGCTTCTTAAAAGTAGAAGGCATGGGGGCGCCTGGGTGGCGCAGTCGGTTAAGCGTCCGACTTCAGCCAGGTCACGATCTCGCGGTCCGTGAGTTCGAGCCCCGCATCAGGCTCTGGGCTGATGGCTCGGAGCCTGGAGCCTGTTTCCGATTCTGTGACTCCCTCTCTCTCTGCCCCTTCCCCGTTCATGCTCTGTCTCTCTCTGTCCCAAAAATAAATAAAAACGTTGAAAAAAAAAATTTTAAAAAAAGTAAAAGGCATGATGTATTTTATTGTATCCCTTAGAAGCAGTGGTTCCAGGGGCGCCTAAGTGGCTCAGTCGGTTAAGCATCTGACTTCAGCTCAGGTCATGATCTCATGGTTCATGAGTTCGAGCCCCGCATCGAACTCTGGGCTGACAGCTCAGAGCCTGGAACCCGCTTCAGATTCTATGTCTCCTTCTGTCTGCCCCTCTGCTGCTTACACCCTGTCTCTCACATTGTGTCAAAAATAAATAAACATTAAAAAAACAATTAAAAAAAGAAGTAGTGGTTCCAGCTCACATGTCGAAGGAGAGTTGGTAGGTATTCACTACACATATGAATAATATTATAATTGGGCATAACATAGCAAACATTCTAACGTGCTGTTAAAAGATGACCAAATGACCTTGGGATATGGCACTACAACTCATTAGCAACCAAACCCATCAACTCTACCTCTATTATCTTTTATCCATTCTCTTCTCTTCATCCTTAGTCTAACCTTTCATGTCACCTTCTACTACAAAGCCTCCTAAATGAGCTCCCTGTCTCTACTAGGACCAGTATTTTCCTACCTCATCAACTCCAGAGTGACTTTCTCTAAAATACAAATTCAATCATGCCTCTTATATTTTAAAGTCTACAAGACGGAAGTCCATCTACGTTAACAAAGCATATAGGGCCAGCAAGAACTGGTCTTTCCTCATTCCCTAGGCATCATCCTAAGGTCTAGAACATAACAACAGATGTTCAATATAGGTTCACTCAACAAATGAATTTCTCTTTGGGTTAGGAAAGAATGAAGCCACACGGGCTTACAGACAAACCTATGACTTAGTTCACATTACAGAACAGGCTATCCTCATGAAACTCTCAATCGGTTCCAAACCACATCAATGTCATACTCAAAAGAATTTAAGCTCATTTTTCATGGTGTCATTCTTAAAATGAGATAGACTAGTTTAACCTATGACTCATTATTTGGCCCCAAATCATCAGGCTTGGTTTAATTTAGTAGAGTTACCTTTTGGGCCTGGCACATTTGAGCCTGAGCAGACAGAATGCAGGATCTTGTTTCACTTATACCAGAAAATAACAGTTTTTGAGCAGCAGCTAATTCTGTCATCTTCTCACACAAGACAACAGGAAATGTCTGCCTTCTACTTCTTTCCACACATTCTCAGACTACTTTCAAGTGGCATGGGAATTCAGCCTTCTCCCCTCAAACACTAACCTTTATGTTAAAGGTGACCACGGTGCCATTTGCCAGTCCTGCATAGAGGGTTCGCCATCTACTATGGAGGCAGAGGACCCGGTCTTCCAGCTGTAGCTGCTCCACACACTCTCGCGTCTAATAAAGCACACAACACCTAATCAGCAGGGGTTCACAGCAAATAAAGGGTGACAACAATCCTTTTTCAAGCAGTGTGTGACATGATTTTTATGAGGAAGGAAATGTAGCGACCTCTGTTTTGTACAAGATTATCTTAGATTCTTTTTCCTTTGAAATATGTGGCCAAAGACCCTCAGGCTATAAACAAATCTAAATTCTAATGTTACTCATGTTCCTAGTTTGTAATGTAGAAATTCTTCAAAGGACACTAAGAAGTGGGCAAAAAGATTACAGCTTGATGAAAACTCAGATGATGGCTAGTATTTGTTTGGTAATAAAGTATTTTTATGTTTTTTTTTCTTTTATTCTCTCTCTGTGGAGGAGTGAAAAAAAAGGTATTTTTAATTTAAGGTACATACTTTTTTTTTCTTTTTTAGATTTAACACCACTGCACACTTAATAGACAACAGTATAGCATCAACATTATCTTTCATATTCACTAGGAAACCAAACAATTCATTTGATCATTTTATTGTGATACTCTCCTTACTGCAGGGGTCTGGAACCCAGCCCACAATCTCTGAGGCGTGCCTGTACTAAAAATGGTTTGGAAGCGTAAAACAGAGAGTGGGCAGAATGAAGCCTCTGTTTCAGTGTCTCCACTCTACACAGTAAACGCAGTCAAAGCAGTTTAATATCATCACTTTTGATTTGTCTGGACCCACTTACCTTCACATTATAGCAGCGAATGGTGTGGTCACTGGAACCAGTGTAAAGGGCAGCATTCTTGCCAGAGGTTTGGGTAACCAGGAGGCAGTTCACTTTGGAGGCATGCCCCTCAAAGACCCCAATGCACTTCCGACTCTAAAGTCAAGCGCATATCAGATTATTACTTGTGGATACACAAGGATTAGGTAACACATTTCCTTAGCAATAACAAAAATGTTACAACATATTAGTTCTCTGCTGCATCCTCAGTGCTTAGGTTAGTGCCTGTTGTTACACAAAAGGTGCTCAGTAAATATGTGTTTACTCAATGCCCAGCAGTCACACGGACTAAGTACCCACAACTCTGTTAGCTGAGCCCTACCCAAAATTCTTAAGGCAGTTTGCTGTAAGATAGATCAGAATTTTAATTAATGCCTGGAGCAAGGCTCTCCAACACAGGGGCCAAAGATCTGACAAATCCAAACTGTAGCTAATTTCCCAGATGAGTTCCTTCATTTCCTTGGTAACTTGTGAGAGAATGTTCCACAACATTCAGAGATGTGTCAGGCCCCTAGTGGGGCCATCAGGGGTGGTTTCACACAGGAACATCCTAGATATTATGTTTGTGCACATATTCAGATCTACTTAAAATACACACACACACACACACACACACACACACACACACACACACACACACACACACACACACACACACACACACATTTATCTTGCAATTTAGAGTTAGAGTCAATCTCCCAAATCTTACACTCATACTTCCTGGTACCACTCCTTCCTTCCTTCAGAAATCCTTCTTGCCCCTTCACATCACTAGGCTATTGGAACCTAGACACCTGTTGCCTAGGACACATTTTCATGGTCCATCATCTAACCTTTGGACTTTCAAGGACTTCAGTAATTTCAAATACTTTCATGGTATTTATTCAGACAACATAGTGCTCTTAAAGTTTCTTAAAGATCATTGTTGATAAAATTAATCTGATGTATACCAAATTCAAAACTCAAGAGTTCATTCTATGAAAACTGAGAGTAATGAGCATCAGATTATCAGTGACGGGTCCTAGAACACTGTTGCTCTCCTTAATCAATTGGGACAATTAATCAACTGTGAGGAAAAACACCTCCTCTAGTACCTCCCCTATATTTTCATTCTATCCTCTCTATTATGTCGCAGCGATCCGACTGACCTCATCACCACCTCCAGGACCAGGACCTGACTGGCCCAGCCTTCTGTTATCTCATCTCCCTTTGCCAAGTGGTTGTTCAGAGTAAAGCACACAGGACCCTTTTGGTAATGGGAGAAAAAAGAAACCCCAGCGGCTTCTGACATCGGTCTATGAGCAGGAGGAGAACTAGCGTTAGGAAGAGGTGATACCAGAGAAAGTAGTGTGGACAGACAAAAAGAAGCTAAGTCCCCAGGGACCCTGCTGAGCCACTGCATCAGCTTTATCTACAGTTAGTCTACACATCTCTGGATAACAAACAGATACCCCTATTGTTTAAGAGAGTGTGAATCAGAGTTCCTAAAACCTGCAAAAAACCAAAAAACATTCAAGTTGATATATCAACTCACCACCAGATTATAAACTCGAACAGTTTTATCTGCTGAACAGGTGTACAGTAAGTTCCCAAATATCTGAATTGCATTCACTGCGGCTTGGTGCCCCTCAAAGCTCCCTTCTGTGGGCTCATCATCATCTCCTGGCTCTGAAGATATTTCTGGAAATCAAGAATGTGTTTCAGATATGTACCAGCTTTTGTCTGAAAAGATACTCAAAAATTAAAACCATTACATAATATAGTGGTCCTTGGATTCTCCTTAAAACCTGTTTCCTCTAGCAAAACCCCACATTTTCCATTAATGATCTTCGTTATGAAGATTTCATAATAAGAGACTCTGGGAGAGAAAGCCTCTCACTGAGGAAAAAAGACAGATACTCATTTTTTGAGTGATACCTGGAAGTACCAAATCTCTCCTCACATCCTCTCTTCTGCTGCCAGTTATTTTGTTGAACAAGGCATTATTCTTCAAGCAATTCCTTCTCAAAGCAAAAGCCCCATGAGCCAATGAAAACTCATTAGTTGAACAGATAGGAGAGATGGGAATAAGAAAATAAAAAGGCAGGATTTACAGGACACCATAATTGCTGATCAAAACAATATTCTTGGTGACAATCCCCCAACCCTATCCTAATCTATAGGCATACTTAATAAGATTTAAACCCTGGCTCTAATATTTATAAAGCTTTCTTTTCTGTGGCTAATTTAAATAAAACTGAATAACCAAATACCTGAAGAGTTCTTTGATCCTTTTATGGAGGAGATCACAGTCTGAGTTTCTGCCACACTACAAAAGAATAGCAAAAGTCTTTTTAGCGGATGTGAATAAGATAAGCAATAACTTAAATTTTCCTGACTCAAGGATTGTTCTAAACACTGGGCACACAGCAGTGACAAAAGAGATCAGTTTTTCCATTTGAAATTTCTATATGAAAGGAAATATAAGTATAGTATATACTTACAACACAAATGAGAAAGCAGAAAATCTCCACTGCCAAGGTTTGATTTTTCTACACCCATAAGCTCTACCGATTTTCTATACATTTGATTCATTTAAAAATTGATTCATAACCAAAAGTTCTATTGTTTAAGAAAAGAATAATGGCGAAAGTTGTTCTGACTGGACCAGCACAACATCCTTACCTTACAGGGATACCATCTTTATAACGAGTGCCAATCTCACTGGTAGAGCTAACTTCATCACAACCAGAACGAGAAGTTTCTAATGAATTTTGCTCTGTGGAGTTCCAAATATCCTTTTTAGATGGACTGTCTGGTTTCTCTTCTCCGGATTCAGAAGAATCAATGGCCACCACTTCCAACTGCGGATTAGGAATTTCTAGGACTTCCAGAGATGAGTCACTCTCTGGCTCATCTCTGACACTCTCTTGTTCTGGGCCAGTCCTGCTGTCTTCCCAGGTGGAGGTCGTTACTTTCCCCCCTTTGGTTGACTTTCCAGTCTTTACTTTCCTTACAGGTTTAGCAGTAAATACATCCTGTTCGGTGTCACTGTTCTCAGGAACATGAGCAGCCCGAAGAGTTTTCTTCTTCCTGAGTTTCTTCTTTTTCTTGTTTCCCCGAGTTTCAGCTGATGTCAGAGTAGACTCTGCCTGCTGCTCGGGCTGGTCAGCTGGAGAGTGGGGCTCTTTCTCTAAGGGGGTTTCGGAAGCAAAGGACAATCTTGGGAAAGAACTGGTACAGGCCTCAGACCCACTGTTGCCTTTGATTGGCTCATCTTCTTTATTCAGGCTTGGAAGACCAGTTAGTTGGGAAGAGGCAGTATTATCTCTGTTTCTGGTATTTCCTTGTTCCGTGGAAAACTTCAGTTCTTGGCTAGGCTCATGGAAACTTTCTGTTAGCTCTGATAAAGATAATGCTGCAGGGATGACTGGATAAACTGGATAACTGTCACTGTTCTCTCCTGAAATAAGAAGAAAAAAAATATTGCATCTTCTTCTGTATCTGCGATTTATCATCATAAACTGCCATTATTTACCACTGATCGAATCTCTCCTGAAAAACAACCTTTCGACATATGTTAACAAGGCTATGACTGTTAAAACTGTTTTCTCATCCCTTAGCTTCCCATAGCCTGCAGAAATTTCTCTTTGCCTTGAATTAAATCTCACAAATAACATGCATGTCTTATACCCTACAAAAGCTCCCTACGGGCAGGGACTCCTTCTAGCCATCTCTTTTCTTTCTTTCTTGTTTGAAATGTCCCCATGTTTAACATGATGTTTTATTCTTGGTACACACTGAAATATCTACTTAGCTAAAGTGCTTTCACCTTTATGTCTTAGATGTTTTCACTATGCCACTTTACCTGCGACATCACCCAGTTTGTTTGCATAACAGTAGTTAAAAAGTCAGTTGACTTAACAAAGTCTATTTTCTTTCACATAGTTATTTCATGTCAAGGAATTCAGATTGATGAAATAATCAAAGACATACTCAAAGACATATACAATGTAGTGTTCTATGCAATATTAAAGAAAAAAGGATAAAAACTAAATACTCAAAGGAGATTGTATCAATTACTATCTACCCAGATTACACAATTTCTCAAGTATTATTCAAGGAGTAAAATTAAAATATTTTACACAATTACTTTTATGACACAGGAAAATGATCATTATCTATTAAGTGGAAAAAAGCCAGGTTATAACAGACTATGATTTTGCCTTTCTATAAACTCTATGTGCAAATACACAAACAATTGTGATTGAAGAAAGACTGAAATAATATATAACAAAACAACGTATCTACATTTTAATCGCTTCCCAATTTTTTACTGTGAACATGAATTATTTTGCAGAGAAAAAAATCTAATAAAAATCAATTTTTAAAAATATTAACTTAAGGGGCACCTAGGTGGCTCAGTCGGTTGAGCGTCTGACTTCGGCTCAGGTCATGGATCCCGTGGCTGGTCAGCCTTTGTGCTGACAGCTCAGAGCCTGGAACCTGCTTCAGATTCTGTGTCTCCCTCTCTCTCTCTGCCCCTCCCCCGCTTGCTCCCTTTCTCTTTCTCAAAAATAAACATTAAAAAAAACTTTTTTTTAAATACTAGCTTAAGAAGTCACTATAATACTTCTTTACCAGTTTTTATTTATTTTTTTTTTCAACATTTATTTATTTTTGGGACAGAGAGAGACAGAGCATGAACGGGGGAGGGGCAGAGAGAGAGGGAGACACAGAATCGGAAACAGGCTCCAGGCTCTGAGCCATCAGCCCAGAGCCCGACGCGGGGCTCAAACTCACGGACCGCGAGATTGTGACCTGGCTGAAGTCAGACGCTTAACCGACTGCGCCACCCAGGCGCCCCATCAGTTTTTAAAAAAATACCAAATATTAGTCACACAAAAGCAACAAAATTCAAGACGAAAGATAACATACATTTGAGCTAGATAGATATCTAGATTAGTGCTGCAACAGGTAGCCAAATCTAGGGTAACTCTTCAGACTTTTTGTTTTTGCTCAGGTCACATGATGGCAGTTTGTTTTTACTCAGTTTTCAGTGTAGCACCATCGTGGTTACACACACTTCAGATAAGGTTTAAAATAGCTTAGAAGTCCTTCTCCAATGGTAAATAAGTGAGTGTTATTTTATGCAAAGAGTAAAAACCTTGGCCATTTCTCAAAACCACTCAAGTTCCTAATGATGATCCTAAACCTGTGTCCACTGCCTTTTATCATGGCCACCTGCCTCTTAGGCTTATATTAATCCTACCTTGCACTTTAATGACAAAGAAAGGTAAATGCTGAGAAATTCAGAGGACATATCTTATCTGGGAAATTGACTGGACAACTTCAACTCCATTTCTCTCACAAAAAAACAAACAGCATCAATCCTCATAATGGAACATTTTAGGTGTTAATACAAAGTCAATTTAGTAACCCTAGATTAGAGAAAACCGAGGACAAGTTACTGATTTTTAAACAATCCTCCTAAATGGAGGAAACATTAAGAACAATTAATTGTAAAAACTTTAGTTTTAATGGGCAGGTATGACTTTACATCACTGACCTAAAACTGCCCTAGACCCTCTGCTGGGGTTGCCCTTAACCCAGAGAAAAGTTTACATACTATTAACTTGCGGTAATTCCTTGGACACATTGCCAGCAGAGCCTTGTGACACAGCGTTCACATTCTCGTCTTGCTCAGGAGACATGGGTTCTTGTTTAATCTGAACTGAGGAGTCTGGAGCAGGAACACTGCCATGGGCTTGGAAAGTAGGAGATGTGGTTACTTGGAGAGGGACTCCGGTGGATGATGGAGACACATGGGAAGATGGAGGCTCCAGAAATACTGGGAAAAAGGGAGTAGGCAGCAGCGTGGCATCAGCAGATGTTTGAGATCTACTGTTCCTTTGTTCTCGTGAAAGGCTATAAGGAACCTGGTCAGGGCGCTCAGAAGGTTCATATGTTTCTAGAATGGGAAACATACGCACATACAAATGCAAAAATATTTTCTGAAAAGCCACTCATTTCTGAGCCAGTTTGTATTTCTAAAGATTACAGGAGAACTTTAAAGTCCCTCATTCTTTGAAATGTAGGAAATAAAATCCATACAACCAACAAGCACACGGGTAGAACAGGTGTTAGTATTCCAATTTTTCAAATTTTAAGTGATTTATCCCAAGTCACATAGTTACTAATCGAAGAGCCAAGATTTGAACCCAGGTCTTTTGATTCCTAACACAAGGCTCTTCCTGTAACATACTGCCTCTGTTGCTAAGCATTTTCAGGGAGCACAGCCTCACAGGCCTTTCTACAGAAGGATGAAAACAAGGAGACAGGAGAGGAAAACATATGACCTTTTCACGACTACTTTAATTCCCCTGCATAGATAACAAAGAAATAATAAGCTACAGAGGATCCAATCCATCAGATTCTCTCCGAATACCTTGTAATCCCTGCAGAATCTGTATTCTATGGGTCCGCAGTGCACTCATCTCCATAGTTATCTAAAAATAAAGTAATCTGTTAAGCACTGTGAAATCCAACTTTAGAGATAATCTATTCTCATTAAATGTTCCATCCGCTGTTACCTGCTGCTTGAGCATAAGTAGCCTCTGAACTTCAACATAAGCTGTCTGAAGAGCTGTACGGGCTTGCAGAAGGTTGTTATCCATGCACTGCAATGATTTGCTTAGTTCTTCCTCCCTTAAAGAAATACTCAGCAGCTGGTCAACCTGAGAACGTTCTGCCAAAAGAAACCATAAGGCTCAGTTTAATACTGCAGACTTCTGAATAATACAGCCCTCAGAAGGTGGAACTACCTCAGTTCTCTAGGATAAGCCTTTGTTTTTCCTCTCCAATAGGTCACTGCAGACTCATCAAATCTCACAAATCATGTGGTCAAGCCTGTTATCAGAGCTAAACCAAAAGTGAGAATTGGTGAGATGGAGGTATGTCATAGGTTCAAGGATGCTTAGACTGGGTCCCAGATGTGAACTGCTTGCACTCTCTTCCCAAAGCATATTTTTCTAGTCTCTTAGTTAACATAAAATAGTTCTCTTTATTAGAGAAATCTTCCTAAAGAAAAAACAGCTTTGAAATGTACATTTAAGTGATTTTGAATAAAATGTCCTATCACGTGTGCGTATCTGTCATCGTTAGGTCTGTCTCTTTCCCATTCAGTATGTCAAGACCTCTTCCTAAAACTCCAGACCCACACATCCAACTACCACCTTGATTTTACTTAGGTGTCTCTAAGATCCTTTAATTCAAGACCCCCAAAAGGGAACTCATCATCTTCCTCTACCGTCAACCTGCTCCTCTCATGCAGTTTTCTAGCTCTAATAAACGATATCATCATCCCCAAAGATGCCTTAGCCAGAAATTGGGGTCATCCTTTACCCCCAACTTATCCATAACATCCAACCATCCAAGGCTCATCCAATCACTTCCCATACTAGCCCTCTCATTGGAAAGGGTTCAGAATCAGTGGAAAGCAAGAATAAGAGAATCCTATCAGTGAGGGAGCCATTCCAGTAACTTCTCTCAACTCAAGTAAGAGAAGCAACAAAGATGCCTCAAAAATGTAAACTGAGAAAAATGGCGATAAATAATCAAGAGACACAAAATTCTTATTAGCAAATGGCCTGTATTCCTCTTTATCACTGAAAAGGCCCAAATGGGACTTTCTGACTTCATACTGAACTCAATTTGTCCAAGATATACATTAAGGTTAGCTTATGGGTCTATGTGGCATCAAACGTTTCTTCTATAGCTGCAACTGGATATGGGAGAAAATCAACCTTTTCTACATCCTAAAGCAAGATAACAAAAATGTCAAAAAATAATACTAAGTGAGTGAACAGTATTTGATATCCCCAAGCTATACTTTGTCAAGCTGTGAAAAAGTTGAAATGCTATAAAAACAATTTGTTTCTGACAGAGTATTTTGCACTGTACCTTTCTTTCCTTTAATTTTCCTTCTTTTGTTTTTTCTCTCAAGACTTGGGAGTTCAGGAGAAGATCCATCCTGAGAAGATAAAGAAAACTGAGTAATATTAAATGTGGAAAAGCCATTCTCCGAGAAGGAAAAAAAGTGAATCAATTCTAAGACTGTTCTACATTATTACCATCTCTAACAAGATAGTAGGAATCTCATGCACACATTATGAACTCAAATATTAGTTGAATGTACTTGATTTAAAACAAAACAAAAACAAACAAAAAAAACCAGAACAGAATCTAAGGTCCAGTACTTTCCTAGCATCCTAGAGGTGGTGAATCTCTGGGGCTTAGGCAAAGCATTTCACTTTAGTTAAGCATGGCATAGTTAGAGGTATGGACAAAGCCAGTAATGCACATATATGATTTCACAGTGACATAGTTTCTACTTTACTAGAAAATCTTCACAACAAAATTTTTACAACAAAAAGCTATAAACAGTCTATCAGACAAGCCCCCAGATATTAGCTTTGTTATAGGACAAACTTTCGTCCAAGAATATCCACTACAGTGTCGAACTCAAAGGGGCAAAGTTGGAATTTGAATTCAGGTCTACAAGCCAAGCCCTTAAGTACTCTGCTATAGTGCCTCAGTATTAAAGCAAACAGTCCATTTTCTCAGAGTGCCACATTCCAGACTACATCACTGCCAGCAACTCTTTCTTTTCAGAAAGGGTTCCTGAAAGGGTTAAGCAGTGTTAGTGACATAGATGCCAGAAGAGAAGTGGTTTCAGTGGAAGATGGATTCTGAAAGGGCCAGGCTGGGTAACTGAGGTACAAAACACTGAGTAACAGAGACTAAAAATATTTGTAAGACCATGCTCACATAGATGCACTCTCATCGTATTAAAACTACCCTAGTGTTAAGCCCAATTGTCTCGGTCTAACAAGCATTCATGGCCTACAAATGCAACATTAGAGTGCCTTTCTTCAGGGCCAGTACAGAATGCATCATGAAGACAGATATAGTTACAGATGAAGACGTGGCTTACTCCTCAGTCAGGTGATACAAAGAATCATTGCCTTGGAGACCAGTTTTAGAGATGACTTCATATTTTCCTAGTACTGTACATTCATATTCACTGACATCTAACTTAGTAGAATTACTCAGTGAAAGGAACCAGTAGGATAAGAATATGAAAGGAAGAGTAAAAGCCTCACAAATCTATTCCAGAGTAGGGAAAAACACAACCCAGATACCCAGAAAAAATTGAAGTTATATCTTTCTTAAAACAGTCAAGTCAGCACATGAAGGGTCCAACAATAAGCAGGGGCAATCATACTCACTCCAGTAGCTCTTCGTTTCTTTCTAACACTCTGGCCGTCGTTTTGTTCGGCACCAGAAGTACAGCTACTGTCTGTGGCTGCATCTGCCAAACTGGAGATTGCAAGGGCTGAGGATGCATTTGATGATAAAGAGTTTCCTTCTCCATTACTCTCCTGGGTATTCTGATTCTCTGAAGGTGGCGTAGAACTCTCCTGGCTGTTCAGGTCTTTTGCCAAATGCATCAAAGGTATCGAACGGTCAGAGGATAATTGCACACTATGTCGCCTTTGAGTAGCAACATTTTCAGCCCTTTCACCTGTTCTTAGGGAGAGAGCCAGAGGGGTCACTTCCTGCTTAAGGCCCATGGTTGTTGTCTGACTCTGTGCAGCCCTCAGTGCGTTACTAGGTGAAAACATCTGCTGGGGTTCATTTTCTTTGCCTGTACCTTCCTCACTGAAGAAGCTATACACAGAAGGAGCCCTGTCCATGATCACACTGCTCTCAGAAAGGCTTCGCTTCCTTGCCAACCCAGGAGAAAGGGAAACACCTTCCCAATGGAATCCTTCGAGACTAGACAGATCAGGCTCCTCATCCAAATCCAAGACCTCTTGTTCATTTTGAACTAGAGGCACCATTTCTATGCCAAACCTGAAGAAAAAAGAAAAAAAGAAAAAAAAAACCATAAATCAGACATGATTAAGGAAGAGAGGGTATCACTTAAGTGCCAGACTCTGTTAAGCACTGAGAGTACAAATATAAATAAGATGGTTTCTGCCCTCAAAAAGCTCACAGTCTAATAAGGGTCCCAGACATAAATAACCTTAGTGTAAGTATTGTAATATAACAAGTACTAAATTAGAGATTTGTACACAGTTATGAGAATACATTTGAAGAAGTAAAAATTGAGAGCTTTATTAGCATGGAGCTTTTCTAAAGCAACCCTATTAATTTTTAACAGCACACAAACCAAACACAAACAAAAATATTTACTGAGCATTCAACAAATGATAGGCACAGGGCTAAGGATAAGAACTTTATAATCTCAATACTCAAGTTATGGAAAATAGTGCACAATAAATACGCTATTTCATCAAGGATAAAATTTAAAGCTTGAAGGGATATATAACACAGCAGGTGGATTTTCAAGTAGCAAACCTACACTGAATGCTGCTTTACCATTCAGAAAAGTTTAGTATCTCAGCATAAGATGAACAGCCAAAACATCACACAAGTACTTAAGAGAAAGTATTCTGTGATCACGAATATAGTGCCCGGAATAAATACAGAAGGGTAACTATTCGTAGATTCTGAGTAAAAGGTCGTAAGAACAATTACACTTAAAAACTGTACCAGTCATTAAGATCGAGAGATAGATACAAATCTACTGATATACTTTTTTATGCTGTTACTTTCTGGCCTCTATAACTAAAGTGATGGACTTCTGATAATTTTTTTCCACGTCCCCATCTCATTTCATTTCTTAGAGGTTGATGTGCTTCCTTGCAACCTGAATTCCCTGTTAGGAAACACTTTATTGCGTTGTTAGAGAATAGCAGTCACTCTTTAATATTTAAACCAGACATCTACAACATGTATTTTTTGCAAGCATTTAATTAAATACAACAAATAGAATTCTCTCGGCCAGGGGCAAAGGGTTAAGTTTAAAAAAAGAGAGAGAAATGGACACTAAAAAGAAGCACACACCTGGGCAAGCCTTTGCCTAGCTCTTGCTTTTTCTTGGTTACTTGCTGGATGACCTGTTCCCAGTTGACATTTCTCCGAGATGCATTTAGAATCTGCCGAAGGGTTGGCTTGAGCCCAGACTCCTTCTCCGTCTCACCCTTTCGATGACCACTGATATTGCGTATGCGGCGAGCACTATTGAGGTTTGGCTCAGGAAGGTGTACTCCAGTTTTGCTCTTTAAACTGATGTGCCTGGTTAGATCTCTCTGGAGAGAGGCAGGAAAGCCAAGCTTACTGAGGTCAGGCAGAAGAGGGCCTGAGGACGGACCGATATCGTTTTTTTGAAGCTCTGCATCCAAGCTAGCACTCTCGAAACCTTCTGTTGCGTAAGACACATGAGATTTAACAGGGTCATCAACCTGTGCATCTTCTAGAGAAGTTTTCAAGTCTAGCAGTAAGCCAGAGTGTGGACTGGCTGCAGACGTCATTTGTAACTCAGGTTCTTTCTGATGAACTGTTGAATTACATGCGTTAGTGGATAGTTTTCTACATGTTTTCAGGTTTTGCTCATCCCCGTCTTTCTCATCAGTGATGTGAGTGCTACAGGATAAAATTTCTGTAGGTGCAGAACCCAGGGCTCCAATTTTTGTTCCATGCTTTTCTGTGTCAGATAGCTCCCCATCACTTTCATCTTCTAATGTGCGTACCTGGAACTCTATCTTCAAAGATCCTTTTTCAGACTCTTCTACATTCCTACTTGCTTTTGCATAGTTCCTGGTCCTTTTAGAAGTGCTAAGGAGTGGATTTTGCAGTGATTCATGACACTGTAGCACCTCTTTGGCTTTTTGTAATGTATCACTTACATTTTTATCAGGTTCCACCTGAGTGCCAAATGTACTTTTATTCCCTTTTAAAACACGAGGACATGCACTTTGCAATTTGGTTATGTAAGACCCATGACTGTCTGCCACAGTGGGTTTGTTCAAGGGATTTGAGTGTTCTCCAGGAAAAAAAGAATTTGTTTTGGTGTTTTTTGAGGGATTCTTTAAATCTGGGTTCTGGGGAACTGATTTAGTGACTGGAATTGGAAGGAGTGCAGATTTCAATGAGGGCATCTTACTTAAGTTAAGCTCTTGTTCGTGTTTCTCTGTGACGGGGCAATCTCTCACCGCCTCATAGGGAGCAGAGCAGTCAGAAGGGGCTTTGTGACTAAGCAATCCAGTATGTGTTTCTTTTTGTGTTTTCAGCGTCGGGGAGTTACTTTTTCCATCATTCTGGGGCTCTGCTGCTCCTGTGGTTGTCAAGCTAAAGCCAAAGAAAGGCTTATCTATCATTTCTGCCTTGTTTCCAGCGCCTTCTTTCATTGCAGATTGTAAATCCAGAGTCTTCTGGGAAGGGTAAGGAGTCCAGCGGCGGAGCTTTTCCCTTGCTACACTGCTGTTCTTCCCACCAGTTTTGGAAGCTATGGTATCTGTTTGTTTAGTAGTTTTGCTTTCTAGCTGCTCAAAATTGAAGTCAAGTAAGCCTTCTGAAGGAAATGTATCGCTTGTAAATCCTTCAGAAGGCCCTCTGTATGTGGCAGCCGCACCAACTTTGTCGCTTTCTTGCCGCTGCCAACTGTATCTATCCTGACTGTATTTGTTAGACTTAGATTTCTTATTCCACAGCATAGGTAAGTCTTCCATCTGACAGTTAGAGTTTCTGTTTCTGCCTGGCTGAAATTTGTCTCCGGGGCCACTGTAATTCCAACTATTTGTACTACGTACACTGGATTTCCAGTTTCCGTTACTGCTGTTCATATGCCAACTGGAAAAGCCACCTGTTCCTTCAGAATGCCAACTGGAATTCCTTCCTGTACCACTATGATTCCAATCTACTGTTCCACTATTTGCATGCCAACCACCTCCAGAATTACTATGGTTGTGAAACCAAGTCGCGGAGCCTCCTGCAACACCCTTATGCCACCCGGAACATCCTCTTGGTCCACCATTATTCCTCAAAGAATGTGGAAAGTTGTTTTTCCTACTATTATTAAAGCCATCTTTCTCCCACTTCCAGTCTCGCTGAGGAGGTCCGCGATGGTGCCATGTTGGCTGACTGTAGCTCTCTCTGTCTTGGTAAGGGATTCGGTCTTCTCGTCTCCATTGGGGTCGCCTGTCATCAGAGTTTATTTCTTGGCTGCTGTTGGAAGGTTCATCTTGTCTGGAAGAAAAACAGTTCTCCATTAGTGATTTAAAGTAATTATCATGCTTCCTTAAAAGACATAACCCATCAAACTTTCCTCTACCTATCTCCTCGGCTACTTAGAACATACAGTAGTCTATTTTTATTTCTAGTAGTGGCTGTTTCCCGTCTTTAAATGATATTGCTAAACTTATATCTCACAGTTTATGGATGCAGATATTAAACGATATGCCATTTCTGCTATCACTCCAGAAATATTAAAAATCTGACACATTTATACTATCCTCCTTTTCCTGCTCCTGCTTTTCTTAGCATGTTCTGGGACTTTTGCCCCATCATCCAATTATTATTTTCACATTATGTAGCTTTTTGAAAATAAGCATAATTGTATCTTGTAGCTTTGGCTAGTTATCATAGTTAATACAACCTAAGTTCCACTGCTCTTAATACTGTGGATTTTTCCAGCCATAGATTCTTTCTGAAAAACCCAGTTTCTTAACCTATTTTAAATGCTAAGATTTCACTTTGCATTATCACTTTCATTAATAAACACTTTATTCAGCACATATTCAATGACTGTTAGTTGTGGAAGAAAACTTTTATGTATAGTTCCTGTTCCTGAAAGACTTACAACCTAGCTGAGAAAATAAGGTCACCAACAGGAGTAAAATAGCACATACGAAATAAGCAGTAGCCACAATCAGTGCTATAAGGAGCTTCATGAGCTAGAGGTTTTTATAAAGCTACAGCTGTTTGAACTATTCGTGTTAGACAAGGAGCCCACAGAAATGTGAACAGACTTAAGTAAACATCACAGGAATAGGTGTAAAACCACTTCCCTCTATAAACTGCCTGTGGTATGCCTGGCATAGTGCTTAACACGTGTGGTAGGTGCTCAAAAAATCGAATAATGCTAGCTAAAACTTATCGAGTGCCTACTGTCAGGCATTTTAAGCACTTTATGTAGATTATCTCATTTAGTTTTCACAGCTCTGAAGCAATTATTCCTCTTATTCCTACTTTTTGGATGAAGAAACAGAGCATTAGAGAGGCAGAGTAACGTGCCTAGAGTTAGAAAGCCAGCAAGTGGTACAGGAGAGATCTGTTTGGCAGACTGACTCTAGAGTCTACACTCTTAACTGCTAGCCCTTGATGAACTGAAAATCCCCAAACTAAGTTTCTGCTATTGGGCTCCCTCCTCTTAACTTGACTTAAACTCCGTAATGACTCTAACTGGTTCTAAAAACTTCTAATGTCTCTAACATTTTGGGCACAAATTGGAATTTCTTCCTTTTTCACAAGATGGAATTCAAAGTTAATTTACTTGAAAGTTCAAACATCCACCTTCATTATGAATTACAACCATTTCTAAACAGAAGACCCTAAGTCGCCAAGTGACAAGTGTTATTACATACATGTGTAGGATTTTTTTAACACCACTGACCAAATTGCTTTTATCTTTTGTTTCTAAGCACTATACACTTTTGACATCCAAGGATATTATGGACTTGGCTACACTAATGGGATCCAGAACTGGGCAACAAATCTGTCACAGAATAGAATTCCTAGATCAGTGTGAATTGGCTAGATCGCGGGGACAATGGCATGCAGCTAAATCCATAGCCCAGAAAAAGCAATCTAAATTAAAAATCTCATGAAGGAAAAAAGAAAAAATGTGAAGAAATAATAGATACTATAAATGCATCACCAAAGAAGCCTATCGGAATATTCAAAGAATATTAACTACAATGTGAATGTCTAATTTACTGAGCTCTTTTACCTTCTGACTTAATGTTTAATCATTTACACAGATAAGCTAATAATGGCACAAACGCTAAGAAAAAAATAAAAGTTAGCCTCCTAGAGGCTTCAACACCCTAAAACAAGAATAAACTACAGCTATACTGAAAGTAGTAACAATGTCATTTGAAGGACTAAGCAGCAAAACGGGTTTAAGAACCAGGTGCTACTGACATTTTAAGACTAACAAAGTCTCCTTCAAGGACTTGTTCAAAACACTTGTAGCATATACTACAAGTAGTAAAGACTACTTCCTTTTTATACTAAACCAGTAACTGAATACAGACTGCATACCTGGTATAACTAGTACTCAGAAAGAATCTTTAAAATTTTATATTAGAACGTATAACGTTTCTCATTATATTCTAGGACTTGAAAAATCACCCAACCTCTTAAATGGTTCTCTCTCTTACTCATATCTGAAAATTTCTGCTTGAACTCTTTAGGCCACAACTCAGTAATGTAAAAATACAAAAGCCTAATACGCGAATTATAGATGCAGGTATAAAATTATGTAGTACAGCTAGAAAACTTATATTGCTCAAATGATCCTGACATTGTCACACTTAAGATACAAATGTATTCAGTAAATACTTACTGAAACACTAAATAATGAAGAATAAATCACATTTGGTAGAAGCACCATGTTAATTCACATGGGGCAAAACATTTTTTTACTGACGGATAGAATAAGAAATACAATATATATGAAGGAAGCTTATACACTAATACCTTTCCACTAGACATTCTGGGTATCAAATAAAACCATTCACTGGTGTTCAAAAAAAAACGGGAATAAAGCCAGTTTTAAACATGGTTATCAACACAGTAAAAATTTCAGATATGTAGCACCTATAGCTAACTTTTATGGAGGGATAATACTGAGTTTGTTTTTTCTGTAAGCAGATAGTACAGTAGTTCAAGAGAGGATTCCACTGACATTTCATGCATAAGACAGCAACCTCAAGCTAACCTTTGCAATTAAAATAAGTTTGAAAGTTACTAGATGAAAAGTACGGAAATGGAAAATGTATTCTCTACCACACTGTTTCAGACAGACTTTTTAAAAATCAAAATAATTACTCACCGACTTTGTTCTTTCCTTTGTTTTATTAACTGAACGAGTTCCTTGTCAAAATAATCTTCTTCCTCTTCTTCTCCCTTTCCATCATCTTCTCTCTCCTGGGCATCAACGTTATCCTTGTGCAACTGGCTAGAAATGTGCTTTGCATATGCAGAAAGACCCACTTCTGTGACCCCGCACACTCGGCACTCATGACTACTGTCCCTAGGAAAAGAGGGAGATGAGGGACGTTCAATTCTGCCCACTGGCATGGCACACTCACCAGATCTGGTATGGTTTCCTCTGAAAAACACCGCACACTTGGGCACAGTGAAAGATTAGTGCTAATCAATTTCAATGCTCCTTTCATCACTTTTAATAAGTTTGTTCATAAGTTATTTTTGAAATGAACTTAAGATTCTTTTCCAGCAATCAAGAGGCAATACACTTCAGAATAATGTAGTTTAGGAGGAGAAATCTTCTTGAATTGCTGTACTTAAAATCTTGCCAGAGGAAACATGGTGAAAGGGGAGGCAGGGCAGGGGGCTCAGAGCAAACAGAAGTTGCTCTAGAGCACACCCATGATGCCAGCTGCACTCAGAAGCCTGGTGACAGCGCTTCCATTTTATCTCAGGCTCAAGAGCTTTCTCCCAGTGAAAGTTTAGGGGTGGAGAAAAGAGCAGGCAGCCTAACCAATCCCAACGTGGTAACTAAATCGGACCCGGCTGGAGCTCTGCCTGGAATGTGCAGATTCCGGACCCCAGAGCAAATGATAGGAGGAGTCTCAGCAAACTTTTTTGGGCTGGATGATACATGTGACCTACATTCTGCTTCAGAAGGGCTTATTTAAAGGGAATGGAAAGCATTTCAGTTGTAGGAAGTTAACAGCTGTGCTAGGCAAATGGTTTTTCTCAAGTTTCAGAAAATGCAAAAGTTTAGAGAGAAGCAAAACCAGTTCTTGTTCAGAAAGAAAATTGAGCAGTTTTTTTTTTCCCCTTTTACTTTACACAGTTAATGGTAACTCTCATATTTGGCCAGTTTTAAGAAACCAAAATCTTGAATCGACATCCACAGCTGTAGTAGATGAGTGTTTTAACTGGTTTTTTAGCTTCCTGAAATCCCTTGATTGGTTCAGCTGTCTATGCAGTCATTGATGGGAAACATCTGAACACCACGGCCACAAGTGTAAGGAATGGACAGTAAAATCCATTCAATAATCCAGATGGGCTTACCTCTGTATCATTTGTCTTGGGTTTACACAAGTGATATTTTTGTACTTCCTATGCCAATCTCTATTACTTACTTACTTATTTATTTTATAAGAAGTTTCTTAATATGTACATCCCATCTGTACGTGAGAGGTACCCAGGGAAAAGTGTCCTAGGTAGGTAACCTAAGCCACCAACTGAAATACCACCTTCAGCTAAAAGCAAAAGAAAGAAAAGCAGGAAGGAGGAACAGTTATGGAGGTAATCATGAAAAGCATGGAAAACAATGGTAAGGGCAGTTATGTAGAATTAAGTTGGTGCTTTCTCCAGTGATTAAATTCTCTACCTTTGCCAATCTTAAAAAAAGTAAATAAAATTCAGGAGTGCCTGGGTGGCTCAGTCAGGTGAGCATTCCACTTTGGCTCAGGTCATGATCTCACAGTTTGTGAGTTTGTGAGGCCTGCACTGGGCTCGCTGCTGTCAGCATCCTCTGTCCCTCTCTCTCTCTACCTCTGCCCCTCCCCCTGCTCACAAAAATAGATAAACCTTTAAAAAACCAACACAAAAAGACATGCTGTCTTTGATAAGACAGACACACACCATGCACAACAATGCTCCATCCTCCCCTCAAGTATATCTATAAAGACATGGTGGAATTCACATCAATTAACCAGAAGAGAACCTCAAAACTGAGCACTTCATTTACCAAAAGATGGTTTCTGTTACAGACCACCTGAACATTTATTTAAAAACAAAAACAACAACAACAAGGGGCACCTGGGTGGCTCAGTCGGTTAAGCGTCCAACTTCAGCTCAGGTCACCATCTCACGGTTCGTAAGTTTGAGCCCCACATCGGGCTCTGTGCTGACAGCTCAGAGCCTGGAGCCTACTTCAGATTCTGTATCTCCCTCTCTCTCTGACCCTCCCGATCTAGTACTCACATTCTCTCTCTCAAAAATAAATAAAAACATTCAAGAAAACAAAAGTGGATGTTAACTTGTAACAGAAATCAAGCCTTTTCTCATGGCAACACAAAGAAATTAAAAATATGTAAATATAAATCTACCTACCATCAGAAGAGTCTGAAAACCCCAACTAACCTAGAATATAGAATTTACATTATAATAAAAATTCGAGTCATACTTACAGAGGTCTTGCACCATTATGATGTACCCCTAAAACTAATGTAACATTGTGTGTCAACTATGCTTTGATTTAAAAAAAAATGTTTTATACTTTAAATCATGAAGTCAAAAAGAAAAGCTTCTTGGCTCTAAACTCTCTAAAACTATGAAAAATGTTTTAGTCCACTTTTCTCCCTAAAAACTTACAGAATACTAAACCGTATATCGTAGTACCAGAGACATCATTCCAAAAGGGTTTTTTGTTGTTGTTTTTTTAAGTTTTTAAAGTTTTGTTTTTTTGTTGTTTTGTTTTTTTTTTTTTTT